GAGTAATCCCAGCACTTTGGGAGACTGAGGTGGGAGATTACTTGAGCCCAGGAGTTCCAGACCAGCCTGGGTAATGTAACAGGACTTCGTCTTTAACAAAACTAAAAAAATAGGTGTAATGGTACATGCCTGTGATCCCAGCTACTTGGAGGCTGAGGTGGCAGGATAGGTTGAATCAAGGCTGCAGTGAGCTATGATCATAACACTGTACTCCAGCCTGGGTGACACAGCAAGATGCTGTCTTTGAAAAAAGAAAAAAGAAATTTTAAAAAAAGATTATATATATTCTGTAGAAATGTTTTATTTGGTCAGCAACACTTTTCTTAACCCAATTGAATGTTTTAAGATGAGGAATACACTCTACTGACTGTCATAGGCCCTCCACTCTCTCAGTTTACATAGACAACTTCCCTTAAGTTTATTCATTTCTAGTCTGGGGCCTATATGCAATTAAGTTTCCAATCACTGGCCAGGCAGCTCATGCCTTTAATTCCATCACTTTAGGAGGCCAGGGTAGGAGGATCACTTGAGCCTAGGAGTTAGAGACCAACCTGATCAACATAGCAAGATCTCTGTCTCTACAAAAAAAATTAAAAATGAGCCAGGTGTGGTAGCTGGCATCTGCAGTCCTAGCTACTCAGGAAGCTGAGGCGGGAGCCCAGGAGTTTGAGGCTGCAGTAAGCTATGATCATAGCACTGCACTTCAGTCTGGGCACAGAGCAAGACCTTGTCTCCAAAAAAAGGAAAAAAAAAGTTTCTAATCACTGAATCAAATTATATGCTAAGATTTTACAAGGTTATCGTGAACATTATTTATACCTTTCTACTTAGTTTTCTTTATGGTCATTTTCCCTACCAGAAAATCCAAAATAAGGATTCACAAAATTATGCAGTAATTTCAGAATTACAAATAGCCTTAGAGATTATCTAGCAAAATCCAACACTCTTTTATCATGACATAGAGGAAAAGACTAAAGGCAAACAGCTTAAGGTTCTTGCTCAGAGCTTCTTAATATAAGTTGGTGCAAGACAATTCAACTCAACATCAAAACATTTAACTTGTGTAAGACCTTATGCTGGAGCTACAACAACAAATAAATGTCCCTACCTCTCCAAGATACACAAGCTAGTAAAGGGCATAGACACATAGACATGAAGACATTATAGAAGGCACGCATGCTAAAAGGAAGGAAAAATTAATTTCTTTCCGTTTTAGAGAGACTTAAGAAAACTTCCTGAAGGGGAAACATCTGAATAGAGGTTTGAATAATGGGTAGGACTGCTGCTTTGGACAAGATGTGATGGCATAGGAGGAAAAGCCAAGAAGCATATAAGTGCACAGTATATTCAGAAAAAGGAAGTAAATCAGCATGGTTGGGGGTAGAGTGATAGAAGATTATCTAGGAAGCATATAGACAAATCCTAAGAGCTAGTGACAAATCCTAGAGCTATTTTCCTCTTTAGCCCACCTCTTTATCCCCCTAGGACTCAAGAACCTCGAAAAGAGTTAAACATAATTGGGAACTCAGGAATAATTTATAATAATAGAAACATTAGTGGCTACTGGAATTCAGAGTGGTATTATCATATGCCATAAACATACTAAATACTTCATATGCATTATTTTGTTTGAACCTCATTTAAAAAATCTATTAGAGCTACATGCATGGCATGTGCCTGTAATCCCAGCACCTCAGGAGGCTGAGGCAAGAGGATTGCTTCAGCCCTTAAGTTTGAGACCAGCCTGGGCAACATAATAAGACCTCATCTCAAAAAATAAATAAACAAAAATTTTAAACTTTTTTAAAACCTAAGAGATAGTTACTAATATTACTCTCATATCATATAAGTGATAACCAAAGCTTATAAAGAGGAAGTAACTTGGCGGGAGGGGAGATGGACAAAAATAAATAAATAAATAACTTTTCCAAAATCAGTTAAAAAGTGTATTCATATATAACTCATCCATCTCCAAAGCCTATGAACTAAACCAAAATAAATGCTAACAAATGCACAGAACAGAAAATTTACAATCAGATTATCAATTTTCAAATACTGATTTTTTAAAATTAATTTTTGAGGAGCAACAGCGACTACTTACCCTAACATTTAAAGAATGCTTTTGTCCTAAGGCTACAGAATGATCTGGAGAGTACAGTATAAAGCTTCAAAAGTTCTTTCAACTGAGTGGCAGTAGGCAAGTTATGTTACGCTTGGGGGCTTCAATTTCCTCGTCTGAAAAATGGGTATAGCAGTACCTACTCGTAGAATGTTATGAGAACGAGTTAAGGCATATAAAGCGCTAAACACAATGTCAGGTATGATGTAAACCACGGCTGTCCACAACATAGTCCCCGTCCAAGTAATCAGAGCAAGTAATCAGAGGGGTAACTAGAAAAGTTACCCCAAGTAATCAGAGGGGTAACTAGAAAAGCTGGACGCGGCCGGGAGGGGTGGCTTCAAGCCTGTAATCTCAGCACTTTGGGAGGCTGAGGCGTGTGAATCACGAGGTCAAGAGATCGAGACCATCCTGGTCAACATGGTGAAACCCTGTCTCTACTAAAAATACAAAAAATTAGCTGGGCGTGGTGGCGCGTGCCTGTAATCTCAGCTACTCAGGAGGCTGAGGCAGGAGAATTGCCTGAACCCAGGAGGCGGAGGTTGCGGTGAGCCGAGATCGCACCATTGTACTCCAGCCTGGGTAACAGCGAAACTCCGTCTCAAAAAGAAAAGAAAAGCTGGACGCTTCCATATGGAGATGGAATAGCCTAACCATGTCCAGAAAGATCACAGTAGACGTTCAGAAAAAGCATTTACAATGGCCCAGGTAATGGGTACTCCTTATCCCTGCAGGACTTATGCAATAAGGTGGCGAAAAATAGGGTGACCAAACAGAGACTCGGGCTGTCTCCTTCGCCTCAGTAGGGCGAGAGCGTAAAGCAATTAGGGACGAAGGCGCTCAGTTACCAACTAGCAGAATAGTAAAGAGGCCTTGGGCCCTTCTGAAACTCCGAAGCGAAAAACTTACCTCAAGGCCAGCTTCCCCTGCCTCCTCAGGTTCTGTATCCACAACGCACCTACAACATAAACACAAGCCGTCAACTCAGATTCCATCCGGACTCCCTTCTGCAGCTTAAGCACTAAGAAATCCTTACCCAACTGATCCAGTACTGCTGCCGCCATCTTTCGCCCTCCCGCTACGGAAGCCTCCGAGTTCAAGCGCCTTCTAGAGAGCACGCATGCGCATTACTCGGAAATTCCTGTGGGGCTCTCCCCGCAGCACTACCTACACCCGCGGTGCTGTCACGAAGATCGGGAGCACAGCGCCACCACTCAAGGTGTGATCACGCGAGCCGGGCTTGGGAATGAATGAATTAATAAAGTTCGAAAGCGCGTGGGCTTCCGAAAATTCACCTGGATTCAGAAAAGTTGTGAAGCCCGAACTCAAAAACTCGAAAGGCGTAGGGGAACAGAATCCGTGAACAAGCCATGTAATCCGGTGGCCCTCAGTTTTCTTCTCAGAAATAGCTAACCCTAGGGCACAAGCTTGTTATAAAGATCGGTTGAAATCGTGTGAAAGCTATTTTATTTCATTTTATCGAGACAGGATCTCTCTCGCGCTCAGGCTGGTGTGCGGTGGCAATGACCTAGTCTCTTTGCAGCCTCGACCTCCCGTGCTCAAGCCACCCTTCCACCTCAGCCTCCCAGTTAGCTGAGACTACAGGTGCACGTCACCACACCTGACTAATTTTTGTATTTTTTGTAGAGACTAGGTTTCGCCAAATTGCCCAGGCTGATCTCGAATTCCTAGGTTCAAATGATCCACCCTCCTCTGCCTCCCAAAGTGCTGGGATTACAGGTGTGAGCCACCAAGCCTAGCCTAAAATCTCTTTTAAACAGCAAATAGTTCAAATATCATGTATGCTGTTCTAATCTCTACTAATCTGGTTGACCTCCAGGAAATGAGTTTATATTCATCGGGCATTTACTGCCATATGTCCGGCAGGTATTTCACCAAATCTCATTTATTCCTCACAGCAATCCAACAAGGCATGGATTATCATTTTCCTTCTTCAAATGAGGAAACATATTTAGGATAGAAGTCTCCCAGCTAACAACTGGCAAACCAGTGATCAATCTGCAGCTAGGGTGTCTCCAAACTCGTGCCCCTAGGTGAAGCCAAATATATGTATTTGACCTCTCTGTATTAATGACGAGTAGTTCAGATTTCGGTTTGCTACATACGCAGGAGTGCCAGATACCCAATGCAAATAAGCAACACACAAGTAGTGCAGAATCTGAGCATTTTAGCATTTTTTAGTTGGAAGGAAACTTTCCTTCACACCATTTACCACATACAGGTTCCTTCACAGAGCTCTCAATCAAGCAAATCGAGTCACTCCATTTGCTTCTCTTTCATCTTTGAATGCCCAGAACCCAGAGCCAGAATTTCCACCCAGTTGCAGAAACTGTTCTTTCCCTTTTTAATTCCAGATTTGTACTTTCATAGTTTTGTTTATTTTTTGAGACAGGGTTTCACTCTGTTGCCTAGGCTCGAGTGTAGTGGCACAATCACAGCTCACTCCAGCCTGTCCTCTGGGCTCCATATTTTTGTTAAGTGGCTCCTTGTGCATACCTTTAAAACACCTCCACACTAGCGAAGTGCCCTGGCACAGAGCGTTCAAAAAACAATGAACGCGTAGTGGTTGAAAAAGTCCAAAGAGTAAACTGGTAGCGTGGGGCAGTGGTTCCACTAGTCTAATCCTCTAATTTTGTGCCTTCCTGTGGAAAGTGAAATGTTTAATTTCGTGGCTGTGCTCAGGCAACATCCGACCCTAGCCAGGGTTGGGGCGGACCTCCTCCGGCGGGCTAGGTACGGAGGGCGGGTCAGTGCAGCGCACGCGGTCAGGCCCCTCCCAGCCCGGCAGCAGCGAGCACGGAACGCGCAGTGCTAACTGGGCCTCGGCGCGCACCGTAGCGACTGCCCGAGAAGGCGGGGCTCGGAGTTTACCCCGCCCCCCCCCCGCCTCCTGGCTAAAGCGTGAGGCTGCGAGCGGTCTCTCTCTTGGCTGCTTCTCTTGCCTGCTTCTCTTGGCTCCGACGACCTGTAATTATGGGGCAGGAGCCGCGGACGCTGCCGCCCTCTCCCAACTGGTACTGCGCCCGCTGCAGCGATGCCGTGCCCGGGGGCCTCTTTGGCTTCGCCGCGCGGACCTCCGTCTTCCTTGTCCGCGTGGGCCCGGACGCAGGCGAGAGTCCTGGGACACCTCCGTTTCGAGGTAACTCACCATCCTTGGTCCCGAGCCCTCCTGCCCTTTCTACGCTCCCCAGGGGCGCCGAGTGGAGGTCTCCAGCCACCCTATTTTCTACAGTTAGGGAAACTGAGGTCCAGACTGGGCGAAGAGTCAGCCCACAATCCCTAAACTGAGTTGCTTCTGATCCCCAGAATGAGCTACAGCATGCTGTGGCCGAGCGGTCCCGCCTCCTGGAGCTTCCACGTGGGACCGCTTGCTGACTGAAAAGTTAGCCCTGTACAGTCCCGGCCATTTACAGGGTTCCCCCACCCAGCCCGGTGCACGCCAGCCCCTCGGGAGCCTTCCTGAGGTTGGGGGCTGACTACAGCTGCAGGCCCTATGCATGATCCTTCGACATGTGACATTCATTACTGTGAGATGAATGAGTTGAGCCAGATGTTTTCAGGCTCCAAACTAGGCTTTGATTGTGCCTTGGGATATGACGTGTCAGGTAATTTATTCTGGCCAGATCTCAATAAGTGTCGCTATCACATTATTTGAGCTGCTTTCCAGCCTCTGAACTAAGCACAGCAAGGTATATCAACATTCATTTCACAGTTGAGAAGCTGAGGCTCAAAAAGACTTGTTCGAAGTCACGTGGCACAGCCAATAATGTCAGCACTTGGGAGTTCTGATTGTGAGTCCGTCGGTATTTCGGTTATACCATGGGTTAAGTAACTCCAAAGTATCTGCTCACTCATCATCCAACAGCAGTATGCTTCTGCCAGGAATCTTGGATAGCACTTCGATTAATCTAATGTCTGGTTTTACTTGAAGTCATAGGAGAGTTGGTGGGACACACCGAGAGGGTCTCTGGCTTCACATTTTCTCATCACCCTGGTCAGTACAACCTGTGTGCCACCAGCTCCGACGATGGGACTGTTAAAATATGGGACGTAGAGACAAAAACAGTTGTGACAGAACATGCACTCCATCAGGTACCATGGCTTACTGGTTTCTCAGACCGTTTTTGTATGTCTGTGCTGAGGGTTCTTGGGTTTCAAGCTAGTTTTCCTAGCTCATTTGTGCAAGGTAACTTATAATTGTGTTCATTAATTAGATAAGACTATATTGTAAGCTGTCTCAACTTTTTTTGAAAGGAGATACATACAAACCAGAGGTTGGCAAACTTCTCTGTGCCTATTTTTGCAAATAGGTTTTATTAGAGTAGAACCACACTAATTCATTTAAGTATTGTCTATGACTGCTTTAATGCTGTAAGAATTGAGTAGTTGCAACAGGCATGGTATGACCCAAAACGTCTAAAACAGTTACCCTCTGCCAGGCACGATGGCTCACGCCTGTAATCCCAGCACTTTGGGAGGCCTAAGCAGGTGGATCACAAGGTCACAAGTTCAAGACCATCCTGACCAAGATGGTGAAACCCCATCTCTACTAAAGATAGAAAAATTAGCCAGGTGCTGTGGCAAACACCTGTAATCCCAGCTACTCTGGAAACTGAGTCAGGAGAATTGCTTGAACCTGGGCGGCAGAGGTTGCAGTGAGCTGAGATCACACTGCTACACTCCAGCCTGGGTGAGACTCTGTCTCAAAAAACAACAACAACAACAATTACCCTCTGGTTATTGATATAAATAGACTTCTGATAGAGACTGTAAATGAGTGAATTAAACTCATTTCTAAACTAGATAGTTACTTGATATACCTGCCTTTTGAGAGAACAAGGGAAAAGAAAAACTCACTTAATCTTTGTAAGAACTCTGCATTAAGCTATTTAAAAAATGTTATGATTATTTGATCCCCTGTAGTCTAAATCTTCCCACCATTTTGTTAATATCATGTGGCTCTACAAGTACTACTAAGTATTAACTGCTTTTAATGTATGTACATAGCATTACGCTGGGTTGTGATACAAGTTAAAAATTAAGTAAAATGTTAGCATTGACTAACAAATTTTTGTTTTGTTTTAAAGCATACGATATCAACATTACATTGGTCTCCTCGAGTAAAGGACTTAATAGTATCTGGGGATGAAAAAGGGGTAGTTTTCTGTTACTGGCTTAACAGAAATGACAGCCAGCACCTCTTTATAGAACCCAGGACAATTTTCTGTCTTACTTGTTCACCTCATCATGAAGATTTAGTAGCCATTGGGTAAGTACTGTGCCATCTGTACTGAAGATTTTTGTTTGTGTATGATCATGTTTTGCATTTTCTTTACCTTCTCCTGTCCTTTTATTCCTCAAAGAAAACCATCTACAGTTGTTAACCAGTCACCCTGACCCCTTAGCATCATTTATTCCTCCAGGTCCTTACTGACTCTGCCAGTCCGTTTTTGTTTCCTTGGTTTTCCATGGTACTGTACTTTCTTGGTTCTTCATGTCCAACTCCTGTAGTCAACCTTTAAATGTAGGAAGCGTCCTCTTTCACCTTTTTCACTTTCTGTGCTGCCTTTTGATATAACATGAACTCCCAGGTGTCAGATGACTTTGCTCAGTTTGTCTGGTTCTGAGCACTCCGTCTAGATTGGGAAAGCAGTGTGACATTGGGATCCATTTCCCCATTGATCAACAAGGTTGTTTCACAATGATCTACCAGGATGGACATCCCCCTTTCCTTCACCATTTATGTACTTCTCACTGAAAGATGTCCATTTTCTCTAATTTGAAGACTTAAGCAATTTCTCTAGAATGTTGAAGGCGAAATTCTGATTGGAGTGAATTTGAAAGACTGGGGACTAATGTAATAGAGGTATAAAAAGAAACAACCCTTTCACAAAGTTTGTTGTAAAAGTGTGCATAGACATGAAGCCAGAGGGGATAGATGAGGTCAAGGGAATATTAAATGGTAGATACCAGGGACCTGTTTTTATGCTGATGGAAGTAAGGCTTGAAAAGAGGGAGAGCTTGTTGCAGGAGTGATGGTGAAAAGTCAAGAGGGGACTGGACTCAGATGACAAGAAGAAAGAATAGCAGGGAATATAGAAATAGGTACAGGTACGTTTGTAGATGTGTTTGGAAGAACAAGGTATTCCATTCTGGGATTTCTGATTTTCTCAGTGAGCTATAAGTCAGAGTGGTAGAATCAGATTCAGCATGGGGTCGAAACTGGTTATGGGAAGAAGGTATGAAAACAGTCAAAGAGAATAGGAAAATGAATATACTAAGGGAAATTGTAGGCCCAGTGTTCACTGTTGTGCCAAACAAAGAATTGTGGCTATAAATTTTAAGTAAACCCAAACTGTTTGAGAAAGGAGATGGTTGGATTCAGCCAGGTTTGGGGCTTTGTGGAGTAAATACTCTTGAGGGAGGAGACAGGGGCTGTAATGATATTTTTTAAAGTTGATAATAAGTCCAGGTGCAGTGGCTCAAACGTGTAATCCCAACGCTTTGGGAGGCCAAGGTTGGTGGGTGACCTGAGGTTGAGAGTTCAAGACCAGCCTGACCAATGTGGAGAGACCCCATCTCTACTAAAACTACAAAATTAGCCAGGCATGATGGTGCATGCCTGTAATCCCAGCTATTTGGGAAGCTGAGGCTGGAGAATCACTTGACCCCAGGAGGCGGAGGTTGCAGTAAGCCTAGATGCGCCATTGCACTCCAGCCTAGGCGACAAGAGTGAAACTCTTATCTCAAAAAAAAAAAAAAATAGCCAGGTGTGGTGGCGCATACCTGTAATTCCAGCTACTCAGGAGGGTGAGGCAGGAGAACTGCTTGAATATGGAAGGCAGAGGTTGCAGTGGGCCGAGATTGCACCACTGCACCTCAGCCTGGGTGATAAAGCAAGACTTGTAAAAAAAAAAAAAGTTGATGATAGGGATGGATCATGAAAGCGGTGCTGCATGGGGTGAGGGGAAGTATAGAAAGACTGGTGTTGGTAAGTGATAGTGAAAATGGAAGGGGACTGGATCGGCCGTCTTGTGAAGGGGGAGCAGTATTGGCAGTAGGGGTGCTAGAGGAAATGAACAGAAAGGTAGTAGGCAGCAGTCAGGGGAGGATCTTCAGAAGAGTATTATTCCCAGAAAGTTTGATTCAAATTTCTAAATAGCTTGATCTGTTGACAATCAGATTGCATAACTTGGTGGTTTTCAAAGTCCTGGTCTTCAAAGATTGGAATACTCTAGTATTTATTTTTCTTTTTTAAAAAATAAAGCTGTACTGGCATTTTTCCCTGTCAAATGCTCTAATGTGTAGGAAGTGTGAATAGATAGAACCACTTTGTAGAATGCAGTTTTGTGGGGTTTTTTTGAGACAGTGTCTCACTCTGTCGCCAGGCTGGAGTACAGTGGCGCAATCTTGGCTCAGTGCAACCTCCATCTCCCGGGTTCAAGCAATTCTCCTGCCTCAGCCTCCCGAGTAGCTGGGACTACAGGCGAGCACTACCACGCCCGGCTAATTTTTGTATTTTTGGTAGAGACAAGGTTTCAGCATGTTGGTCAGGATGGTCTCGATCTCTTGACCTTGTGTCTGTCCACCTCGGCCTCCGAAAGTCCTGGGATTACAGGCTGGAGCCACTGCACCCGCTTGTACTTTTTATAAAGATGCATATATCTTAACATCCTGGCAGTTTCATTATGAGACATGAAACCTGAAATTGTCTTAGATGTATACATGCACATTAAAAGTATCTTTTTCTTGTAAAATAGGGAAGCCCTTCAAAGGAAAATAAATAAACTTTGGTACATTCACACAGTGAGGTACTAATACAATAGTGTAATGACTGGCCAGGAAGTAGAGTTACGTGTATCAGCATGGATGACTTACAAACAGAATGAGTGAAAAAAACAAGCTGCAGGAAAATAGGTGATAGCATATATATGAAGTTTTAAAACTTATAAACTCTGTATCTTATTTAGGAATATATACAAAGAAAGGCTAGGAATGATATAACACACAATTCACAAAAAGTGTTTGGCCTCTGGTAAAAGAAGAGAAGAAGAGATCTGGCAAGGAGAGAGGTTTGATGGAGGTGGAATGTACAGAGGACTTCAGCTCTATTGGTCATTATTTTTCTTAGGCAGGGTGGTAGATTACTTTCTTATGTGTCTGAAATAATTTATTTTCAAAAAGCTATTAGAATTTCTCAGTTTCTTCTGATTCATAAACTGACAGCCTTGGAATATGGAGGTCTAGAGTATAGAATTCTGTAACTTTTGTTAAGTTCACAGTTTAAAAAGTAGTATCACTTATAAAATAAAGATGATTTTCCAGTGGACTAGGACACGGTTATCTCAATTAGAAGAGTTGGTCAGGTGTGGTGGGTCACACCTGTAATCCCATCACTTTGGGAGGCGTGGATTGCTTGAGCCCAGGTGTTCAAGACCAGCCATGAGCAACATGGTGAAACAAGTGGATTGCCTGAGCCCAGCGTTCAAAACCAGCCATGAGCAACATAGTGAAACCCATCAGTACAAAAAAAATATAAAAGTTAGCCTGGCATGGCACATACCTATAGTCTCAGCTACTCTGGGAGGCTGAGATGGCAGGATTGCTTGGGCCAGGGAAGTCAAGGCTGTAGTAAGTGGTGATTGTGCCACTGCAGTCCAGCCTGGGCAACAGAGAGCAGAAAAAAAAAAGTTGCTGGACCCTTGCAAAAACTATAAAAGTTCCCTTAGAACAAAATCATGCTCCACTGTGAGCTTTGTACCAGGCAACATACACAGTATTACCTAATGCCAAGAGTTTGATCATAGAGAGGAAGGTTTTAACAAAACCAAGAAGCATAAGATGAGCACTTTTAAAAAAGGGAAAAACAAAATTATTTTTGGTTCTTTCCTCCTCCACCACCCCGAATGCACCTAACTTTAAGGAATGCACCAATGATAACTCTAAGCCAAAATGTTTACTAGAGACCCTGTTCTGACTTCATTTTTTGAGTAACATTTCTAATTCTTGTTTTTTAGGTACAAAGATGGCATAGTGGTTATAATTGACATCAGTAAGAAAGGAGAAGTTATTCATAGGCTTCGAGGCCATGATGATGAAATCCACTCCATAGCCTGGTGTCCCCTGCCTGGTGAAGATTGTTTATCTATAAACCAAGAGGAAACATCAGGTAGAGATGGTTTAAGTTCAGTACTCTTTAGACCTGAAGAACAGCGGGTAGAATTATATCATTTTATTTTATTTTATTTTTTGACAGGGAATTTCGCTCTCGTTGCCCATGCTGGAATGCAATGGCACAATATCGGCTTACTGCAACCTCAGCCTCCCGAGTAGCTGGGATTACAGGCATGTGCCATGATGCCTGGCTAATTTTTAGTAGAGATGGGGTTTCTCCATGTTGGTCAGGATGGTCTCAAACTCCCGACCTCAAGTGATCCACCCACCTTGGCCTCCCAAAGTGCTGGGATTACAGGCATGAGCCACTGCACCTGGCCAAATTATATCACTTTAATTATACCTAAAACTTCAGATTTTATAGTTAAGACCTATGAAAGAGATAGCTAAGTTTTGGGAACTCTTGCAAATTAAATTTTTTTATAAGTGCATGTTTAATGCAAATCAAAAACAAAATTGCCATCTCTCTCATAGAAGACCCTGAAATTACCAACGGGAATGCTTTGGCACAAGTTCCAGTAACAATTGGCTGCTACTTAGCCACTGGAAGCAAAGATCAAACTGTTAGAATCTGGAGCTGTTCGAGAGGCCGAGGTAAGATTGATGTTTCTTTTGTGATCTAACCTATGTTGATCTGGTGGAAATAGAAGTTTTTTTCTTCTGTCCTATTGTCCTGAGGGTGTGTCATCTTTCTGAGAGCAGTTCTTTATTTTTTGGTCTAGAATTCTGCTTCCTCATTTGAGCCTGGGCTGGATCTCTATTCTCCCAACATCTGGCTTTAGAGATGAATGTTTCCCATGCATTCCAGAAGAAAAGGACCCCTTCCTTTATAGAAGGGTCAGTGTTTGGCATGGGGAGCAGGTTATTTGTAGTAAGAGCAGGAATATTAGAACATGGTCTGGCCTAGGCCAGGAGAATGGAAAAGATCTCAAGAGTTAGAGCTTTTAATGCACAAATGCAGAATAAATTACATATACCCAGCATAGAATTATGTGTAAAAGCTCAATTTATCTGAATTATAGAGCCCCTCAGTCATTTAGCTTTCCCAAACTTCTCTTTGAACAGAACTTTTTTTTTTTTTTTTTTTTTGAGATGGAGTTTTGCTCTTGTTTACCCAGGCTAGAGTGCAATAGCGCAATCTCGGCTCACCACAACCTCCACCTCCTGGGTTCACAATTCTCCTGCCTCAGCCTCCTGAGTAGCTGGGATTACAGGCACACGCCACCATGCCCAGTTAGTTTTTTGTATTTTTAGTAGACACGGGGTTTTACCATGTTGACCAGGATGGTCTCGATCTCTTGACCTTGTGATCCACCCTCCTCGGCCTCCCAAAGTGCTGGGTTTACAGGCTTGAGCCACCGCTCCTGGCCCGAGCAGAACTTTTTAAGTTTAAAAATTGAGAGAAACTCTAGGCAAAGTGAATATTTATAGTATATTATAGAATATAACCTTTATGGTAAAAACGTTGTGTTTCTCTTTCTAGGGGGCTTCTCTTCATTTTATTTTTTCCCCAGTTTTTTAAGCTTTGGTGGAAAGTAACATTTGCCATCTTTATCACTTTTAAATGTACATTTAAGTGGTATTAAGTACACTCATAAAGTTGTACAACTGTCATAACCATTCATCTCCAGAACTCTACTCTCCATTCCCTCCTCCCCCAGCCCCTGGCAACCATCATTCTGCTTTCTGCTCTATGACTCTATGGTTTTGACTACTCTGAGTATTTCTTTTGAGTGAAATTGTCCATATGGTGTGTCCCTTTTGTGATCGGTTTACTTCACTTAGCATATATCCCGAAGGTTCATTAATTTTGTAGCATGTGTCAGCATATCCTTCCTTTCTAAGGCTGAATAATATTCCATTGTATGTATGTCCCACATTTTGTTTATCCACTGATGGACATTTGGGTTGCTTCCATGTTTTACTATTCTAAATAATATACTATGAACATGGATATGCTTCCCACTTTATTTTAGACCGTGATAGTTTTATATTTACCCAAATGCATTAGTGCATGTAAAGCAAGTAGCACTCTGCTTGGCCTGTAGTCCAGGTTTCATCAGTGGTAGGTAACTAATAGTATAATTTTGGAAGACAGAACTTTTTTAAGTTTTGTAGACTACTTTTGTACATACTGCAGCTAAAACTCCAAGTAGGAACATGAGGCTGAGGATCCCTCCAGAAGGGGAACCTCTGGACTTAGAGATGTGTAGTATAATGGCCTTCAATTGCGATTGTGCAGCTGAATCAGCTGGAGAGTTTTTAAAAAATGTGAGTTCTTGTCCCCACCTCAGATCTACGGAGTCAGAATCTCTAGGAGTTAGGCCCTGACGTGTGTATTTTTTAAAGTTCCACCTGTGGTTCTGTTGCATAATACAGCTTAAAAAACAGTGATTAGAAGCGTGTCAGGTGGAGGTACTCCCCAGCCACAGCATGTTGACTGCCAGATTTTTCTTCTTTGTTGGATTTCTTGCCAACTAAAAATAGTAATCTCAACCTCTATCCTTTTCACCTTGGAGTTATGTCACTGTAATACTTGTGGGTATGCAACTGAGCTATGTTACTACCTGGATTCTCAGTTTGACTTGGGAACTCATTTTCCCAGACAAGAAAAACACTCTTAATATGTTGAAGTTGTCAGGATAACCTACGGAAGCTTGTTTGACCTAAATGTAGCTAGACTAGTATTAACCACTATTTATAATGGTTAACATTATAACCATTATAAACAACCATAGGAAAATGAGATCTGAATTCTACATGACCAAACTAACAAGTTTTTACAGCACAGATTTGAGTATTGTGAACTGCATGAATCATGCGTGTAGTTTCACTGTCTTGAGTGCCCATTGGCCTTCTTTTCATCTGCAGGGGTGATGATTTTGAAATTGCCCTTTCTGAAGAGAAGAGGAGGGGGTATAGACCCAACTGTTAAAGAGCGCCTTTGGCTGACACTCCATTGGCCCAGCAATCAGCCGTCACAGCTGGTATCTAGCTGTTTTGGGTAAGTTTTTGGGTCGTGCTTTCTTAGATGTATTTTGTTTTTCTATTTAGTCTCAAAGACTCCTAGGTTTCTCTTTGTAGATGGAGAAGGTAATGGCCAAAGCTTGTATTATGATGGGCCATTTGAAATGGAAAAATTATGAGACCAGTGCCTATGCTGTCAACTAACAGAGCTGTAAAAAGATCAAATAAGTGTAGTCTGGCAGTTAGGAGTATGGACTCTGAAGTTAGAACTAAATTTCAGAATCACTTCGCCACTTACTACCTTGTATTCATGAGCAGGTACCTTTATTTTTCTGAGCTTCAGTCTTTTCGTGTATAGAAAGAGGAGTCTTTCTCCGTCAGAGTCTTGCTCTGTCACCCAGCCTAGAGTGCAGTTGTGCAAACACAGCTCACTGCAGCCTCAACCTCCTGAGCTCAAGCAATTCTCCCACCTCAGCTTCCCAAGTAACTGGGACCATACATGTGCACCACCATGCCCAGCTAATTTTTTAATTGTTTGTAGAGATAGGGTCTCACTTTGTTGCCCAGGCTGGACTTGAGATCTGGGCTTCAAGCAATCCTCCTGCCTCGGGCTCCTAAAGTGCTGGGATCACAGATATGAGCTACCGTACCCAGCCTTCCCAGAGATATTTTGCGTATATTTCAGAATATGCAATTTTTCTCTCCTTAAAAGACAACAAATCATTTCGCAGCTGTGAGCCTAGACTCCGTGATTCAGCAGTCACTTGTTTTCAGATTGTTTGTAAAAGAACTAATGCTTATGTTTTTCCTTCACAGAGGTGAACTGTTGCAATGGGATCTCACTCAGTCTTGGAGACGGAAATACACCCTCTTTAGTGCTTCATCAGAAGGGCAAAATCATTCAAGAATTGTGTTTAATTTATGTCCTCTACAAACAGAGGATGACAAACAGCTGCTACTTTCTACATCAATGGATAGAGATGTAAGAACTGCTTATTTTCACTCAGCATTGTAGAGCAGCAGTTTACAACCTGGGTGGGATTTAGAGGGCTTTTTCAAACCACCTGTCAAGTCGTAATACCCTACCCCTGACTACAGTTTTAGAGTTACTGCTATAGATCAGCACAGGAATATATCAATAGTTCAGATGTAGGGAGAATGTGAAAACAACCAAAATGCTTTTTTGTTAGAGCAGACATAATAAAGAAGGGTAATTTTGCCAACAGAAGGATGTGTTAGGTCAGGCTTGTCCAACCCACAGCTTAGGATGGTTTCAAGCTCATCAGTTATTGTTAGTGTTAGTGTATTTTATGTGTGACCCAAGACAATTCTGCTTTCAGTGTGGCCCCAGGAAGCCAAAAGATTGGACATCCTGTGTTAAGTCCTCATGCTGTAGTTTATCCTAGTCTGCAGTTTATGTAGCGGAATAGAAATCTTTCCAAGAGAATTGACTTTATTTGCAAGTCTTACCTTACTGTTTTGAAATTAAGCTAGGCTTATTTGGTAGACTTCGTTTTCTCCCAAGCCTGTCTCTTAAACAAGTGATGACTAAAAACTTACCACTCCTCCTTCCCTGGGTATAAAATGTTCTGCCTTTTGAGAGAGCAGTTCTTTGATTTTTTCCACTGTGCTGAGGCCATCTTCTTCCTTAGAGTTTGCCAAATGAGGAGGTTACCAGTACTATAGTAGAATGGAAAGGTCACTGAACTTGGAGACAGGAGGTGTGGGTTCTGGTTTATTAATTGTGTAATCTGAATTCACTTGAAATCTTTGGGAATAAATACATATTAAGATCCTTTTAAGCAGCATAATTTATTACTGATTTTTTGTCTTAGTGCTTTCTTCATTTCCTACTGGAAGACATACAATATCCTTACCCACTCTTTGAGCCTATCCCATATCTGTTTCTTTTTCCTATTTCTCTGTTCTCTTTTATGTTTAGGCCCTTACCATTAATCTTTGCAGGTAAAATGTTGGGACATGGCCACCCTGGATTGCTGCTGGACCCTGCCTTCCCTTGGTGGGTTTGCATACAGCCTGGCTTTCTCTCCTGTGGACATAGGCTCTTTGGCCATAGGTGTTGGGGATGGCATGATCCGTGTATGGAATACACTCTCCATAAAGAACAACTATGATGTGAAAAATTTTTGGCAAGGTGTCAAGTCCAAGGTTACAGCGGTAAGGATTTCTTTTTTGAGCTTGTTTTGAATGTTTTTTTTTTTCAAATAGTTCTCTTTTATGCCTGTTCATTTAAATGAGCTCTGTTGAGAATAAAACGTTTTAAAGTATTTTCAATGAAGTTTGAAACCAGGAAAGCAGGAGGATCCTGTAAGCAAAACCATTATCCTCTAAATTCAGAGTTTATTAAGATTTTGTTCATCTCAGCATTTATTCTAATAGTAAGAAATTAGAAATGGCCTAACTGTATGTTCATAGAGAATATATTAAGTTATAATATAACCACATGTTGGAATGGCATCAAATTATTGAAAATGATAATGTAGATTCTTCCTTGATGTGGAAAAGTATTATAAATGAATTATGAAACATAGAATGCAGGTTATAAAACACTATGTGTAATTTTTTTGGTTTTCTCTAAAATGATACTTTTGGCTACTGAATCTAAAAGTAATAAATTTTTGTGGTTTAAAAAGAAAACCAAACAACACAAACAAGGAGAAAGCAAACATTTTTTTCCTACCCTCCACTCCAGTCCCCTATTTACAGAACCCAGAGAACCACTGTGGACAGTTTATGATATATCTTTTCAAATGTTGTAAACTGTTTAATATTACTGGAAATGTATTTCCAAATTCTTCCGGAATCTTTCATTCATTATACACTTGACAGTGTATAATGCACATCATTTACATATTTGAACCCATTTGGTTTTTTCAATTGTGTATATCTAAGTTTATTCGCAAATATGTCTAGAAGGAGAGATACAAAATCTGCAGTTGGTTTTTTGGATGAAAGACTACAGATGACATTGGCTTTGTTTTTAATATCCCTTTTTCTCCTTTAAATAATGAAGAAATCAGAGCAAGAAAGTTTTCCCTTTGGATGCTTAAAGTGTAATGTAAGGATTCCCTTAACTATATACCCCATTTCTTATATTCTCACTTGGAAACTCTTTTTTTTGTAGCTCTGCTGGCACCCAACCAAGGAAGGTTGCTTAGCTTTTGGAACTGACGATGGAAAAGTAGGATTGTATGACACTTACTCCAACAAGTAAGAAATGGGTGATTCTTCTTCCATTGTGGCTCAGGGAAGCCAAAAGATTGGACACCCCTGCTCTAGAATAATGCTTCACTCTATCCTTTTCATAACATTGCATTTTCAGTTTGAAGACTACAAATCAGTTGCTTGGTAGACGGTTCCACATTTAGGACTTGTCAGTTATCTCCTTGTGGTAGCTTCTAACATATTTCCATGTTACCTGCATTTTGTATGAACTGGAAGTTATGTCTAGAGCTACACTGTCCATTATAGTAGGCATTAACCACAGGTGATTACTGAGCACTTGAAAGGGGCCAAGTCTAAACTGAGATGTGCTGTAAGTGTAAAATAAACACCAGAGTTCCGAGCCTTAATATTAAAAAAAAAAATTTAATCTCATTAAATATTTTATTTTAATTGCATTTTAAATAATACTTTCGGTGTGCTGAGTTAAATAAAATACATCATTAAAATTTCACTTCTTTTGCTTTTTTTAAATGTTGCTACTAGAAAACTTTAGGTTACATATACAGTTCATATATATAGCTTACATTGTGTATCTATTGTACACTGCTACTCTAGAGGCTTGATTAGAATCCAAACCTGTATCGTTCAGTTTGGTAGCCATGTGTGGCTGTTTATACTTAAAGTGATTAAAATGAAATAAAATTAGAAATTCAGTTCCTCAGTCATGCCAGCCCCATTTTAAATGCACAAGAGCCATCTGTGACTAGTGGCTACCTTATCGGACAACACCGTTCTAGACAAGGCATTGGTGAACCATAGCCCACAAATTAAGAATGGTTTTACCTTTTCAAGTGGCTGGAGAAGAATCAAAATAATACCTTATGACATATGAAGATTAAATAAAATTCAGATTTTAGTGTCTTTAAGTAAAGTTTTATTGGGACATGGCTACACTCCTTTATTTACATTCTGTCTGGTTGCTTTTGTACTACCACAGCAGAGTAGAGTAGTTGTGGCAGGGACCACATGGCTCAGAAAGCCTGAAATATTTACAGAAAAGATTGGGAAACCTCTGTCTTAGATAATTCACTTCCGAGTGAAAATCATACTGCAGAGCTGTCCTTTTTTTTTTTTTGTGACGGAGTTTCGTTCATTCTTGTTGTCCAGGTTGGTGCAGTGGCATGATCTCTGCTCACCACAACCTTCACTTTCCAGATTCAAGCAACTCTCCTGCCTCAGCCTCCTGAGTAGCTGCAATTACAGGCATGTGCCACCACACCCAGCTAATTTTGTATTTTTAGTAGAGATGGGGTTTCTCCATGTTGGTCATGCTGGTGTTGAACTCCTGACCTCAGGTGATCCGCCCACCTTGGCCTCCCAAAGTGCTGGGATTACAGGCATGAGCCACTGCACCTTGCTAGAGCTGTTCTTTTTATATGCAGTTCTTGAAGTACTTATGTAGAACCTATGTACAGTTGACTATTCTCCTTAACGCTCAAAAACAAATACTGTCTTAAAGATTTATTTAAAATACACTGGTTTTTGATCAGATAAAACTGTTAAATAGCCCTGAGTCATTATGAAATTGCTAATTCTATTAAATTATTATCTCCTGGCTGTTATGAACTGAATATTCACACTAACAGTACAAAAGCCATGTAATAGCCAGGCAGTGGTGGGTATTGCTCTAGAGCTATTGTTAGGCGGCATTTTGCCAGAACAGCTTATTCTGTTTATTTTAGAAATAGGCTAAAGTATAAATTCGTGTGTTTATAAAGTATAAATTTATTTTAGAAATTTTGGTTCATTCTCTAGAATGCTCACTATAACTTTATCAGATAAGTGGAAGTAAGTCAGCTACTAATTATTCATAGGCTCTGGAATTCTAAAATCATAAAACGAATGTATGATAATTTATGTTAAAAGAAATAGCAGGGGCTGGGCGCAGCAGCTCACGCCTGTAATCCCAGCACTTTGGGAGGTCGAGGCAGGAGGATCACGAGGTCAGGAGCTCGAGACCATCCTGGCCAACATTGTGAAACCCCATCTCTATTAAAATACAAAAAACTAGCCGGGTGTGGTGGCATGCACCTGTAGTCACAGCTATTCGGGAAACTGAGGCTGAAGAATCACTTGAACCAGGGAGGCTGAGGTTGCAGTGAGCTGAGATCGTGCCACTGCACTTCAGTCTGGCGACAGAGCAAGACTCCATCTCAATCAATCACTTAATAACAGTGCTACCTGGTGTTTTCCCTATAAAGTTAAGCATTCTTTACTAACATGTCACACCACAATAGTATCATTATTTGATCACTATTACCACAGCAACCTTCGAAAATACTCTTAAGAGTATGCCTTTAAAAGACAGTCACAGGCCGGGCACAGCGGCTCATGCCTGTAATCCCAGCACTTTGGGAGGCTGAGGCAGGTGGATCATGAGGTCAAGAGATCGAGACCATCCTGGTCAACATGGTGAAACCCCGTCTCTACTAAAAATACAAAAAATTAGCCGGGCATGGTGGCATGTACCTGTAATCCCAGCTACTCAGGAGGCTGAGGCAGGAGAATTTCCTGAACCCAAGAGGCGGAGGTTGTGGTGAGCCGAGATCGCACCATTGCACTCCAGCCTGCGTAACAAGAGCGAAACTCCATCTCAAAAAAAAAAAAAAAAAGTCACAAACTGAAAATATCTCTACCCTGAAACCTTGTCTAAGTTTAAGAAATGTGATGTTAATGGCACAAAGTCTAAAATGACTTCTTTATCTTTTGCATGACTGGAAAGTGAATACATTTGGGTGATGATAATGTATGTTCTGGCTAGATGGGTAAGAGTAACATTTTTAGGGGGATAAAATATGTTTGCGACTTAATCATTTTGATAGTAAATATTATTTGATATTTAAATATTTAAATGTAAATATTACATAATAACTGCTGCTTTACGGTCAACTATCTGGAGCAAGATATTGCTGAGTGATTTTTCTCCAATTATTGGTAGTTATATTTATAATGAGGACATTTTAGAAAAAGATGGTCTGTTTTTCACTATGCCTTTTTGTTTAAATCTCTGCTTGTTCTCTCCCTCGCTCTTCTAAAGGCCTCCACAGATTTCTAGCACATATCATAAGAAGACTGTTTATACTTTAGCGTGGGGGCCACCAGTACCCCCGATGTCACTTGGTAAGTGTCTGAGAAATTTTTTAACAAATATGAGAATATTCTCTTTCTTTCAGTTTAATCCTAAAATATTAAAGATGGAGAGTCATAACTGTACTAGTGCACTGACTGCTTATGTGGACTACTTATGTCTCCAGGGGTTCATGAAGGCAGTAGTGACAGGTAATAAATCACAATTGCTGGGAGAAAACATTTAACCCACAATAAGCTCCAGACTCACTAAAGCATTGTTTCTTTCTTTTAGTTGAAATTTTTCATTGTGTGTATAGTTATCATGCTGGGTCCTGATACCCAGTCTAATATTCTTCACTAAAACTTACTGTCACTTTTTAATTTTATCAGAATAAGAATGTTACTTCAGTATGCCAACAGAATAATATCTGTTTTCACCCACCATAAAATCAAACTTAAAGTTTCTGAAATGATCTCTTGCCTTTGATTCAGATTCTGCCCCTTTCCCTCCTCTAGCCCATCAGTCTTTTTTTTTTTTTTTTTTTGTGAGACAAAGTCTTACTCTGTTGCCAGGCTGGAGTGCAGTGGCATGATCTCAGCTCACTGCAACCTCCATCTCCCGAGTTCAAGCGATTCTCCTGCCTCAGCCTCCCAAGTAGCTGAGACTACAGGCATGCACCACCACGCCCAGCTAATTTTTGTATTTTTAGTAGAAGCAGGGTTTCACCATGTTGGCCAGGATAGTCTCGATCTCTTGACGTCGTGATCCACCTGCCTCGGCCTCCCACGGTGTTGGGATTACAGGCATGAGCCACCATGCCCGTTATCTTTCTTTTTCTTATTCCTAAAGTAATGAGTCTTTTCTATTAGCTTTTTAAATAAGTATATTCTTCAAAAGTCTCTGATATGCTTTTCTTAACCATCTATGATGAAACAATTGTAAATTTCTGTAGGAATTGCATTACATAGGAAAGTAGTGTAAATTTTCAGAACTTGAGTAGCACTGGAATTTGTAGTTCATTTATTCATCACATATTTACGAGATATTTGATTTGTGATCTAGCAGTGGTAAAAGTAAAACTTGCTTTTGGAGAAACCCACCAGAATCACTGTTTGCTTCTTAAAAATTAACAAGAGGATTGTTGTGATACTAAGGAAATCACTGCTTTGACGACAGCTCCTTTAAATAAGACATAGAAAGTCCTACTGTGCTATATAATTCCCAAAGAGTACTCATTTCTGAAAGAATAAGCAAATTCTCAAAAGCCTTGCTTTAAGAATATATATGTTTGTTTTCTGATTCCACTTTTGGACCCCTACTATTAAGAATGCCAGAAGAATGTTTAAAGCAAATATGTTGCATCATATAAATTAACCTAAAATTACAGTAGTATACCTTTTTTACTTCTGCTCTCAACAACTGTTCAGATGGAAAAAAAGAATCTAATACATTTATTTTGATGTATTAGAATGTATCAAATATACAATTTTTTTTTTTTTTTTTTGAGACAGAGTCTCAAGGCTAGAGTGCAATGGCATGATCTCAGTTCACTGCAACTTCCGCCTCCTGGCTTCAATCAGTTCTCCTGCCTCAGCCTCCTGAGTAGCTGGGGATTACAGGCGTGAGCCATTATGCCCAGCTAATTTTTGTATTTTTAGTTGAGACGAGATTTCATGTTGGCCAGGCTGGTCTCGACCTCCTGACCTCAGAAGATCCACCCCCCTCAGCCTCCCAAAGTGCTGGTATTACAGGCATGAGCCACCATGCCTGGCCTCAAATATATAATTCCTCTAAAACATCTCATAGTGTGATATGGTCATACGATACCAACAAATAGTTAAGCTGGTGAAGTACAAACCTGATAATCTTTCTTTTCTTGTTTCATACAGGAGGAGAAGGAGACAGACCTTCCCTTGCTTTATACAGCTGTGGAGGAGAAGGGATTGTCTTACAGCATAACCCTTGGAAGCTTAGTGGAGAGGCCTTTGACATCAACAAACTCATCAGAGACAGCAATTCAATCAAAGTGAGTTCTGGTAATCCTAAGGTCTTTTCTTGATCTTTCTACGTCACAGATCCCTCTGGGTTTCCCATCTTGCAAAATAAATGCCTTTATTAGAGATCACCATCATCATATTAAGTCAGTTTTCTTAAATGTTCTTATAAGGCTGTGTGTGAATTTATGAGTTATAACATATAACTTAGGAGTCTTTATCCTTGAGTAAAACAAAGAAGTACCTCTCAGACAGTGGGTATGAGGCAAAAAACGAAAAGAACTACTGAAAGAAAAAAGGTTTGTCTCAATTGCAGTAATGATTTATTATTAGCTTTTCAGGTCTTAGATATAAAGCATCCTTTTCAGGCCAGCCACTTTCACCAAAGTGATATTGTGGTAAAAATATCAATAATATAGTGTCCAAATGCAAGTGCATGGTGCTTTATTGAAGACAAAATTGTCATTTTATTTTTAATTTTCTAGTAAAATGATTTTAGATTTACACAAAGCTGCAAAAATAATACCCATAATTTGTTTATGTCCCTTACATAGATTCCCACATTTAATCACATTTGCATTATCATTCTATCAGTATGCACCAGAACTGTCTTTTAAAGTCAGACCTTAAATGTTGAGATGTCCTTACCCTTTCTTTTTTGAAACGGAGTCTTACTCTCACCCAGGCTGGAATGCAGTGGCGCGATCTTGGCTCACTGCAACCTCCTCCTCTCAGGTTCGTGTGATTCTCCTGACTCGGCTTCCCAAGTAGGTGGGACTACAGTCTTGGGCCACCACGCCCAGATAATTTTTGTATTTTTAAGTAGAGACAGGGTTTCGCCATGTTGGCCAGGCTGATCTCTAACTTCTGAGCTCAGTTGATCCAACCATTTTGGCTTCCTTACCCTTTGAAATGAGTATTTTTATTTATTTATTTATTTATTTACTTATTTATTTTTTGAGAGAGAGCCTCGTTCTGTCACCCAGGCTGAAGTGCAGTGATGCAATCTAAACTCACTGCAGCCTCTGCTTCCTTGAGTCAAGTGATTCTCGTCGCAGCCACCCAAGTAGCTGGGATTACAGGTGCATGCCAAGCCTGACTAATTTTTGTGCTTTTATTAGAAACAGGGTTTCACCATGGTGGCCAAGCTGTGGCCTCAAGTGATCCACCCACCTCGGCCTCCCAAAGTGCTGGGCTTATAGGCATCAGCCACCATACCCAGCCTAAATGAGCATTTTTATATTATTGCTCATTACTTTTGTATGGCTAGTGTAAAAGTAATATTTAATTATAAACTGAATTATATTGGTTGATTATATTCCCTCATTGTCTTAAATTTTATCTAAACATTAAAATTCAGCAATGAGTAAAAGAGACAAAATTCTTGTTCTAAGACTCTTTTAATTAATTGGCACTTGAATGTATGGATCAGAGGTTCATACTAGGAGTTTGCGCTGGAAATAGAAATTCGTAATCCCTTCACAATAATGATAAATGAAGAAGCTGAGGGCATGTATAAGGTGGGCTAAAGAGATAAATGAGAAGAGGGCCCAGGCAGCATATAGATATAAGAGGAGAATGATTGAGGGAATACCAGCATGTAGATATGAGAGGGGAATGATTTAGGGAAAGAAGCTTTGAAGGGATAAAAAACAAGGAGAGTGTATATAGTTTTTGTTTAAGACCATGGTTCCCATTTTGTTCAAGCCGATGGGCACAGATAAGTTTAATTAAATATGTTTCACCGGCTTAAGCATTGTAAACATTTAGTGCTTATTGGCCTTAGGGTTTTTTGCTTCTTCTTCTTCTTTTTTTTTTTGACCCAGTTAGGAAATGAGAATTAGAATGCTTGTTCTTAGTTATCCTTTGAGTAATTATGTAGATTATTTACAGGAAGAGCTGTTGTATAATTAGAACATTTTTTTAACTCTAGGGATTTTTTTTTCTCATGCTGTCATTGTTGATTTGTGAGATATGTTTAGAGTCAAGATTGGTTTGTTTTGCTTTCTAGTATAAATTGCCTGTACACACAGAGATCAGTTGGAAAGCAGATGGCAAAATCATGGCTCTTGGCAATGAAGATGGGTATGTATTTGCTTCTTTAAGATAAAAAGTTTGCAAATGCACATATATTTGATCACAAGCTGACTAATGCCATCCGTAATATTAGCTGGGGAGGCCCAGTTGTATTTGGCATTTTCAATGATTCTTGATATCCTCTGCTGATCCAGAAGTGCCTTGTGTCTTTGAGAACTACAGAATTACTTAGATATTTTCAGTTCATTGAGAGTATTTGGCTACACTGTATTTTGACTGTCTCGTGCCTCACCAAATGGTCATCTCGCATATTGAACTGCCTAAATCTCACTCCATTTTTTTTAAAGTAAGCCTAGTCAGAAATGCTTTCTAGATCTATGTCCTGTCCAATGTTAATCGTAGTAACGCAGTCCTAATTCAGCCATTGATTTGTTATTTCTTTTAGCTTCTCTCTGTGATCATTTGTCATTAACGCCTGATGAACACAATTTCATCAAGCATTGTTAGAATGTTAGGAGATTGTTACACTGAGGTAGTGTGGAAAGTTGAAATTTTAAAAAGTTTCATTTTTTTTAAAAAAAGAATTGTTAGGATATTGTTAGAATTTTTAAAAGCCAAATATGCTTTTTGCAGAATAACTTTTTATACTTGACTTTTTTTAATGAGAGAATGACCTTTGCAGTGATAGAGAGGGTTATCGTGTTCTACCTTATCTTTCCTTGGCTGATGGAGTGAGGGAGCTGCTGTTTGCATTGTAACTTGTAATTTGATCATCCATCTTTCTTGTTTTGATGTGTTTCTTATTCCAGAACAATAGAAATATTTCAGGTTCCCAACTTGAAACTGATCTGTACTATCCAACAGCATCACAAGCTTGTGAATACCATTAGCTGGCATCATGAGCATGGCAGCCAGCCAGAGCTGAGCTATCTGATGGCCTCTGGCTCCAACAATGCAGTCATTTATGTGCACAACCTGAAGACTGTCATAGGTAACTTTGGTTTCTTTCATACTGGATATGATACTTGTGTGTTCAGCTACTTTCCATTCTAATCTTTGTCCCTTTTTACTTTATGTTTGACATTAAGTATTATTCTTACTGCTTTTTCCGTTTCAAAGTAATAGATTCATCTTATTTTAAAATCCTTTCAAACATGACAAAAATGGTAACAGAAAATGGAGTTGGCCAGGCACAGTTGCTCATGCCGGTAATTCCGGCACTGTGGGAGGCCAAAGCAAGATTACTTGTGGCCAGAATTTTGAGACCAGCCTATTAAACGGTGAAGCTTAGTCTCTACAAAAAATTAAAAATAAAAAAACAAATTAGCCAGGTTAGAAGTGCACACCTATAGTCCCAGCTACTTGGGGAGCTGAGCTGGGAGGATCATTTGATCCTAAGAGTTTGAGGCTGCAGTGAGCTCTATTTGTACCACTGCACCCTAGGCTGCATAACACAGCACACCCTATCTCAAAAAAGAAAGGAAAAAAAATGAGATTTTCCCCTAAAATCTCATCATTCAATAACCAGTGTTGTTAGTTTGCTGCATATTTTCTCTAGATTTTATAATAAAATCTTAGCCTACATATGTATATATGTTAGTATATATTAATAGGTTTTCACCTCTGTACTTGTATGAAAGAATAATCTTTTGTCCCTAGCTAAAAAGAAATCACTGTATATAATATATACTGTTTGCAGTTTTTTCCTTTAAATTTATGTTTATCATGGACATCTTTTTGTGTCAGTACATTAAAGATCAATCTTGCTGTTATTAACAGATATCTGTCGGCCAGGCACAGTGGCTCATACCTGTAATCCTGACACTTTGGGAGGCCATAGTGGAAAGATAGCTTGAGACCAGGAGTTTGAGACCAGCCTGGGCAATGTAGTGAGACCCCTCCTCTACAAAAAAAAAAAAAAATTTTTTTTAATTTTCTGTTTATTCCATTATATGGACATACCATAATTTATCCATTTCACAATTAAATGACATTCAAATTATTTACTTTTTTTACAATTTACGTACTATTATAATAAACTGCCTTATACATGTATCTTCATGAACATGAATAATTTTCATACAGAAAATTCTAGAAGTGGAATTCTTGGTAAAAAAGATGTAGTTTTTTTTATAGTTATTGCTAAGCTGCTCTCTAAAAACATTATCCCATTTAATACTCCCTCCAGCAGTTTTTGAGTGTTAAACACAAACACAGGACACATACCTCATTCCCGTGTTTGACTGCACCTGATCCTCATAAATCCTGTGAGGGTGATAGGTATTGTTATCCTTGTTTTCCCAAGATTAAACTGAGGCCTGGAGAGGTTAGCTATTCAAGCAAGTATCATCACTAATATATGATAGAGCCTAGATTCAACCTCAGAGTATCTAGTTGCAGAGTCTGTATGTGTTCTAGCAAGTGCTATTCCACCCCTAGTGAGTTAACTTCCATATGGGTATGATTTATTCCATAAGGAATCTTAAATTTCATTGAGGCCCCTTCGGCACCTGGGAAAAGCATAGTAGGTGGTCAGAAGAGCCATTTTTAAATATGAGTGAAGTGGAATTACTTTTTTCCTAATATGAAGAATTTATAATCCAACACTGAACTGTTTTCAGAGTGTTATAAAACATACTCTCAGCCATAGTGAAAGTAGTTGACATTTTCACTTCTCTAGAATTTACTTCCAGTAGCTTTTTTATTTTTATATTTTTGAGACAGAGTCTCCCCTGTCATCCAGGCTGGAGTGCACTATCTCGGCTCTCTGCAGCCTCCGCCCCCAGGTCCCAGTTCTAGCAGTTCTCCTGCCTCACCCTCCTGAGTAGCTAGGATTACACCCACATGGCACCATGGCCAGCTATTTTTTGTACTTTTAGTAGAGACGGGGTTTCACCATGTTGCCCAGGCTGGTCTCAAACTCCTGATCTTGTGATTCAGCCACCTCGGCCTCCTAAACTTCTGGGATTACAGGTGTGAGCCATTGTACCTGGCCCTTCCATTAGTTTTCTAAGAATCTTATTTGTAACAAGAAAAAATATTTTTGGTTCTAGTAGTGATTCTCCTGAATTAAAAGCAATATGGAAAAATTATTAAAATATAGATACATTTTTCTAATGGTAAGAGACAGTGTCTAATGAACGTATGTTAGCTGATTCTGATCTTATGATTATTATTGGGATTCCAAATTAATCATCCACTTTATATCACATCTACTAAATAATAGAGAAGGGAAGAAAACTGCCAGAATTCATTCAGTTAATTTTTACCTTCTTATTTTGAAAAAGTGAGACTTAGAGGAAAGTTACAAGAATTGTACAAAGAAATCCCATGTACTTTTTCCTATTAATAGATTGAACAGTTTTTAATGTGTTGTCACATTAGCTTTATTCTGTGTGTGCATGTTTATGTAGTGTTTCCTATCCATTATCAGTTCGTTGGTTTAACTTAATATACAATAGTTTCATCTTTCCCCAAAAATATATATAACTATTATTTGTCAATTTAAACAAATAGTTGAGGCTAGGCATGGTGGCTCATGCCTGTAATCCCAACACTTTAGGAGGCCATGGCAGGAAAATCACTTGAAGCCAGGAGTTCAGGACCATCCTGAGCAATGTAGCAAAACCCCAACTCTATAAAAGTTTTAAAAATTAGCTGGGCATGTGGGCATGGTAGCTCACATCTGTAATCCCAGCACTTTGGGAAGCCAAGGCAGACGGATCACCTGAGGTCAGGAGCTCGAGATCAGCCAGACCAACGTGGAGAAACCCTGTCTTTACTAAAAATGCAAAATTAGCTGGGCGTGGTGGCACATGCCTGTAATCTTAGCTACTCAGGAGGCTGAGGCAGGAGAATCGCTTGAACCTGGAAGGTGGAGGTTGCAGTGAGCCAAGATCGTGCCATTGCACTCCAGCCTAGGCAACAAGAGCACAATTCCGTCTCAAAAAAAAAACAAAAATAGCTGGACATGATGGCGCAGTTACTCACAGGCTGAGGTGGGAGGATCCCTTGGGCCCAGGAGTTGGAGGCTGCATGCAATTAGCTATGATTGTGTCATTGTACTTCACCCTTGGCCACAAAGTAAGACCTAGTCTCTTTAAAAAAAAAAAAAGGTCAAATAATCTGACACCCATATTCTAGTTGTGTCAGTTGATCCAATAATGTCCTTAATAGTGATTTTTTTTTCTCCGGTGCAGATTCCAACGCAGGATTACCTGTTTGCATTTGGTATTTGGTTGTCTCCTTTCATCTATAATAATTTCTCAGCCTTTTAAGAATTATTTATGTATATATTTATTTATTTTTTAGAAACTGGATCTCACTGTGTTGTCCAGGCTGGAATGCAGTGGTGCAGCCATAGCTCACCACAGCCTCCAACTCCTCCTGGGCTTAAGCCATTCTCCCACCTCAGCCTCCTGAGTAGCTGGGACTACAGGTGCACACGACCATTGCCTGGCTAGGCTGTGTGTGTGTGTGTGTGTGTGTGTGTGTGTGTGTGTGTGTTTTCCTTTTCCTTTTCCTTTTTTTTTGAGACAGGGTCTCACTCTGTGATCCAGGCCGGAGTGCAATGGCGCGATCTCGGCTCACTGCAATCTCTGACTCCCAGGCTCAAGCAATCCACCTATCTCAGCCTTCCACGTAGCTGGGACTACAGGTGTATACCAACACCTCTGGTTAATTTTTATATTTTTTTGTAGAGTCAGGATTTAATCAGGCTGGTCTTGAACTCCTGAACTCAAGCAATTTGCCTGCCCTGGCCTCCCAAAGTTCTGGGATTACAGGCATGAGCCAACATGCCTGGCCAAGGCAGCCTTTTTTTTTAATCTTACATGACATTTTTCAGGAAGATAGGCACTCATTTTGTAGACGCTTTCTCATTTTGCATTTGTCTGGTATTTCCTCATTACTATATTCAGATTATACATTATAGCTAGAATATCCTGGAATATCCTAAAAGTGATAATGAGAGCTAACACTTCTTGTGGTAATCTTATATGCTAAGTACTGTGGATGTACCCACACTCTTAATAAGTAACAGTGTTGCCTGCTAAAAATCGCCTAAGCTCGGGAGGCTGAGGCAGGAGAAACGCTTGAACCCAGGAAGCGGAGTTTGCAGTGAGCTGAGATTGCGCTGTTGCACTCCAGCCTGGGCAACAAGAGGGAAACTTTGTCTCAAAAAAAAAAATCACCTTGAAAGTGTGTGGCAAAATCTTGATTCTTGCCATGTGCATGCCTTCCTGGATATGCTTTTTGCTTGTTTTGTTTTTTGTTACTCTTAGCAGTGACATATTTCCCTTGCCTTTTAGAGAGCAGCCCTGAGTCTCCAGTGACCATTACAGAGCCCTATCGGACTCTCTCGGGGCATACAGCCAAGATCACCAGTGTGGCATGGAGCCCACATCATGATGGAAGGCTGGTATCTGCTTCCTATGATGGTACAGCCCAGGTACTATTGTGTCCTTGTCCCTGTGGTCCTTCACTATATTCTTTAACAAACTCTTCTTTCTCCCGAGTTGTGAACAGGTTTTCCCTCCTTCATTATCATCATCTACAGAAGGAGATGTTCTGGGATCTAAGGAGGCATTTAGTTTTATTCCTCATAGCTAGGCCTTTAGCAGGCTAAGACTGGGTTTTTTTTTTGTGGGGGGGGGGGGTTGTTTGTTTTTTTACTTAGGTGAAGGGAAAAGTATCAATAGGAACTAGCTAACTCTAACATTTTTACAGATTTCTCTCTGATTCACTATCAGTATGGTGGACTAACATGATGTGCAGAGTACTCTCTTCTGTTCAGACACTGAAATGCTGGCTAAAAATCACAAAATTTTTAATAATAAATTGGTAAGTTAGAAATCTCCAAGTTCTAAAAAAAGTAAAGATGAAATGCCAAGCCAGATCTATGAGAGAGGACTTCTGGATATCAGAACTAGAATAGACATTAGGAGCTGGAGACCTAACATCCGTGATGTTTCTGTCTCTCAGTGTTGAGTTGTAACTGAGCTGACTGCGCAAAGCTAGGAGCCGCAAATTGCTGCCTTCTGTGAAGCTGAGTTCAGAATAATTCAAGAAATAGAAAGGAAATTGGTGAATTGCTCAAGGAATTGGAGACAGAAGAATAACCTAAGAAAAATTAGAACTGTAATTTCTGGAGTAGTTATGGGCTATTTTCTTCATGATACCAGAATCTCAAGCCCAAAAGTTAACATACAGTGTAGGTTTGAGACTAAAATCCATAGGACACCAGTAGAAGCTCATTGAAAATCATCGCCATAGGAATGCCTGTACATCTCAGAGCACAGAAGCCTCCCACAGGAAATAGGACTCTTCTGAAATTGAACTTCTAAGAGAAAACTCCAAATCACATGAGGAAATAAGAAGCCATAGATTTTTGTTTTTTTTAATTAGAAAACATACCCCCAAACAATAGAATGACCAGAAAATGTCTATTCGGTCGTACTTTTGGGTTTAGGTGTGGGATACTCTCCGGGAAGAACCCCTGTGTAATTTCCGAGGACATCGAGGTCGACTGCTTTGTGTGGCGTGGTCTCCTTTGAACCCAGACTGCATCTATTCAGGGGCAGATGACTTTTGTGTGTACAAGTGGCTCACTTCCATGCAAGATCATTCCCGGCCTCCTCAAGGTCAGTCAGAACCTAGGGCTTATCTAATTATTTTTCTCCCTTTCTTAATAATTTAGTTCATCAGGATTGAGCAAGGAATACATTTGTGCAGGACATTAGTGTCCGTATGGCATGGGTCTAAGTCTAAGCAAGAAGGCAGCCACAAGGGCTTGAGAACAGCACCACCTACAATAGGAAAGAGCATACCTAGCACTCAGATCTTGGTTTCTTTTTTTCAGACAGAGTCTTGCTCTGTTGCCCAGACTGGAGTGCAGTGGCACAATTTTGGTTCACTGCCGCCTCCACTTCCTGGGTTAAACCGATTCTTGTGCCTCAGCCTCCCTAGTAGCTGGGACTACAGGTGCATACCACCATGCTTGGCTAATTTTTTTGTATTTTTAGTAGAGACAGTGTCTAGACCAAGCTGGTCTCGAACCCCTAGCCTCAAGTGATCTACCCACCAGCCTCCCAAAGTGCTGGGATTACAGGCATGAGCCACTGTGCCCAGCCCAGATCATGGTTTCTAAATATCATTCTCCATTAAAAGTGTCCATGGCTTCTTGGAGAAATGGCTGGTTCCAGACTGGGACAGGAAAAACACAAACTGAAACTGAAATGTTCTTATGCTAGAGAAGAAGGCAGTACTCAAAGACTTAAGGAGACATGTCAAATGGACAAAAGAGACAGCTTGAAGAGGCTCCCACTGACTAAATCTGAGACAGTAGGTGAAAAGAAATAAGAGGAAAATTCCATTTCTAGCTAAGAAAGATTTATTGGTATCAGATATGCCATAAGCAACTAGAAGACTAGACAAAATATATTAAGCAACTGCTGGGCACATGGCTCAGGTCTATAATCCCAGCACTTTGGGAGGCCAAGGCTAGAGAATCACTTGAGGCCAGGAGTTTGAGACCAGCCTGACAAATCACGAGATCTCATCTGTACCAAAAATTAGAAAATAAAAGTAAATAGGAAAAATTGGCCAAGTATGGTGGCTTACTCCTATAATCCCAACACTTTGGGATACTGAGGCAGGAAGATGGCTTGAGCGCAGGAGATCAGCCTGGGCATCATAGGGAGACACTGTTTCTGTGAAATAAAATTTTTTTTTTAATTTTAAATAAAAGAATATATTAAACAACTAGAAATTCACACCCAAAGAAATGAAATGATATGTCCACGTAAAGACTTGTAAAAGAATGCTCATAGTAGCTTTATGTGTGATCACCAAAAACTGGTAACAATCCAAATGTCTGTCATCAGATAAATGAATTAATTGTGGTGTATCCCTACAGTAGACTTCTACCTAGCAATAAAAAGAAGGTAACAACTGATAAAGAACAAAATGGATGAATCTCGATAAAACATTATGCCAAGCAGATGCAGCCAGGCACAAGAGACTACATACTGTATAATTCTGTTTATGTGAAATTCTTGTGTTTTTTTTTTTGAGGCAGAGTCTCACTCTGTCACCCAAGGCTGGAGAGCAGTGGCACACTCTTGGCTCACTGCAACCTCCGCCACCCAGGTTCAAGTAATTCTCTTGCCTCGGCTTCCTAAGTAGCTGTGACTACTGATGCACACCTCATGCCCAGCTAATTTTTTGTGTTTTTAGTAGCGATAGAGATTACCATGTTGGCCAGGCCGGTATTGAACTCCCAGCCTCAGGTGATCTGCCTGCCTTGGCCTCACAAAGTGCTGGGATTACAGGCGTTAGCCACTGCACCCAGAGTATGTGAAATTCTTCAGTAGGCAAAACTAAACCACAATAGGAGCAGATTAGTGATTACTAGGGCTCAAGCAGGAGGTATATCTTACCGCAAAGAGGCTTGATGGAAATATTAGATTGGTGCAAAAGTAATTGTGGTGGTGGGTAGGTTATATAACTACATACATCTGTCTCAACTCATCAAAGTATTAAAAAGTGGGTGTATTTTATATTACATCTCAAAGATTATTTTAAAATAAGCAAAGGATAAAAACCTTAAAATGTAAATATAACAGTAATGGAGGAATTAATGAGTCCAGACTGATATAATAAATCAGTGCCTAAATAAACGGAGAGAAGCACAAGCTCTTTCCTGTGGTATAATGCCAACTAATGAATGTAGAGTGAAATGTTGGAATTGGAAGTTCACCCTTTGGGCCAGGCACAGTAGCTCATGCCTGTAATCTCAGCACTTTGGGAGGCGAGCTGATCACTTGAGCCCAGGAGTTTGAGACCAGCCTGGTCAACATGACAAAACCCCATCTCTGCAAAAAAAAAAAAAAATACAAAAATTACCCAGGCGTAGTGTCACACACTTGTAGTCCCAGCTATTCGGAAGGCTGAGGCAGGAGGATTGCATAAGCCTGGGAGGTCAAGTAAGGCTGCAGTGAGCTGAGATTCTGCCACTGCACTCCAGCCTAGGCAACAGAGCAAGAGCCTGTCTCAAAAGAAAAAAATTCACCATTTGGCAGTCATCATGGTAACAGTTTTTAATCAAGAAACATCAGTGAATACTAAAGCTAGTAGATGCAAATTTTTAGTATTTAAACAGGGGAAATACCCTTTTAGGGAGTAACCTGTAAGACACCCCTTAATCAGGAGATCAAAGTAAACCAAATGGGACAAATAAAAATAAGCTGCTACCTCATAGATTGCCGGATGAACATAGCAGCACTAATGTACATTCCAGTTAAAGATGCGAACCCTAAATCTGGTCGTGAAAAATGTCTGGCAGACCTAAATTGAGGGAAGTTGGACAAAATAACTGTCCCGTAATCTTCAGAAATTTCAAATTATGAAAATCAAAGAAAAACCATGCGACTAACTGTTCCAGGCTGAAGGGAAGCAGAGAGGCATGACAACCAAATGTACTGTGTGATCCTGAATTGATTCCTTTCGCTATAAACAACATCTGGGTAAAATTGGCAGAACTTAAGTAGAGTGTACGGAGTAGATGACAGTATTGTATTATGTTAATTTCCTGATTTCCATAGTTGTACTGTGGTGATAATGGAGCATATCCTTGTTCATAAGATACACACTGAAGTATTTGGGTGCTATTGGGCATAATGTTTATGATTTAATGAAATCTCAAAAGAGTTTGGTTAATATTATGATAATATAACTCGAAAAGTTCATTGGGAATGAAGGGAAAGGGTAAAAATGCTATTAAAGAGTACTGAGGTATTGGAGTTTACCTTTAGAATGCTTTTAACCAAGAATGTACCTTTTAGTCTTTCCTTCTTTATTTTGATTCCTGTAGGCAAAAAAAGTATTGAATTAGAGAAAAAACGACTCTCTCAACCTAAGCCAAAGCCGAAAAAGAAGAAAAAGCCCACCTTGAGAACTCCTGTAAAGCTGGAATCGATAGATGGGAATGAAGAAGAAAGCATGAAGGAGAACTCAGGACCTGTTGAGAATGGTGTGTCAGACCAAGAAGGGGAGGAGGAAGCACGGGAGCCAGAATTACCCTGTGGCCTGGCTCCAGCGGGTACGTGGCAGAACACTATGTATCACTAGGATCTCATGTCTAGGAGACTAAGCTAGGTCCTTACTCAGTTTGAAACTTTGCTGTCTCAGACCTTCCCATTTTATTTTTTTTCAAGCTTTATTCAAGTCTCTAAAATAAACATCTTTGAAGTTTTAAAGGGGTTCTAGTGGATGTTTGGGGTGGAAATAGTAAATTTCTATAGCGGAAACTTCTTATTCAACTTGGGCAAGGTAGAAAACCGTGGGACAAAGTGAAGCTGAGATAGTTGTGTACATAGAAAATTACATGAGAAAAGTTTTAATAGTCTGACATTAGCCACATTTATTGAAAGAAACCACTGTATCTTACAAATATCAGACCTAGAAGCTACCACCACTGTGGGAACTTGCAAGCTCTCACTCCTCTTACCTGGAGTTTATACCTGGCTTTCTGTCTTCTCACAGAAAAAAATGTGTAAGTGCTTACTAGGTTCTTCTGGTGAGGTAAGCTATAGTGGTGGTTCTCAGATTTCTCACAAAACAGTGTTCCATCACTAATTTATGATAATCTATTTCTAGTTTAAAGACAAAAAAAAACTGTTATTAGATAAAAATTTGGGCACTTTAAAAATTTTGTACATTTACCTTAAATACCTGGTCCCTGTTAAAATAAATGATAAAATAGCAAACAGTATAAGTAGAAGCAATGACTCATGCTTAATTCTAAAACAGAATATATTGATGTGACAGAATTAAAATGTCAGTATATATGATACAAGGCATCCCAGTTGCTCTCTGTCCCAAGGGATTGCTGTTAAACGCATAGTTGGGGTAAATAAAGAGCAAAAAGCCTAATAGATTTATTATTTTGACCCATCAGAATGCTTTTCTAGTTGGGTACAGTGGCACATACCTCTAATCCCAGCCGCCTGCCTCGCTTCCCAGAGTGCTGGGATTACAGGCATGAGCCACCACACCTGGCCTTTTTTTTTAAATTTTTTTTAAAGAGCCTTTCTTTCACAAAATGGCTATACAAAACATGGATCAACAAGTTGTTTTTAAAAAGTTCCTGTGCTCAGGATCGTGACATCATATTGCATACATCTAATATTCTTTATTATTAAAGTTGCTCTTTGTTAGTATAATTAAATATGCAATTAGTACTTTATGATCTGAAAATGTAAAAAGTGCTTTGTCGCTTGAGCAAAGTATAGAAACTCGTTGGCTTATGGTAGAAAGTTGTGGAGGGTTAGAAGCTTTTTCCTTAGTCAAAGTTCAGAGTAAGGCGGGCATGGTGGTTCATGCCTGTAATGCCAGCACTGTGGGAGGCCAAGGAGACTTGCTTCAGCCCAGGAGCTTGAGACTAGCCTAGGCAACATAGGGAACCCCACCTCCACAAAAAATATAAAAATTACCAAGCATAATGGCTTGTGCCTATAGTCCTAGCCACTCTGGGAGGCTGAGGAGGGGAGAATCACCTGAGCTTAGGAGGTTTAGGCCTCAGTGACTGTGTTGGCCCCACTGCACTTCAGCCTGGGCAACAGAGTTATACCTTATCGCTAACCAAAAAAAAAAAAGTTCAAAGTAAGCCAGGTAAGGTGGCGGCTCATTCCTTTAATCCCAGTACTTTGGGAGGCTGAGGCGGATGGATCACCTGAGGTCAGGAGTTTGAGACCAACCGCCCTGGCCAGGGTGGCAAAACCCTGTCTCTACTAAAAATACAATAATTAGCTGGGTGTGGTAGTTTTCGCCAGCTACTGGGGAGTCTGAGGCAGGAGAATTGCTTGAACCTGGGAGGCAGAAGTTGCAGTGAGCCAAGATTGTGCCACTGAATTCCAGCCTGGGCAACAGAGTAAGACTTCGTTTCAAAAAACAACAACAATAACAAAAAAAACAGACTCAACAAAAAAATGGACTCACAGATTCCTGAAAACACGTAGTTTGTGAGGTGGGGAAGGGAAAACTACCCCTACTTCCTTTCTAATGCATATTATCTCAAAAGTTTTGGTAATAGATGAATTGATTGCATTGCTGAGCTTGGAATGGCTCTAAATTTTTAAAAACTGAAATTTTGTATTGTTTTTATCCTTTTTGTCCCCCCATGATGTAGTTTCTAGGGAACCAGTTATCTGCACTCCAATTTCCTCAAGCTTTGAAAAGTCAAAAGTCACCATTAATAACAAAGTCATTTTCCTGAAAAAGGAGCCACCTAAAGAGAAGCCAGGTTGGTATCTAGTAATTAAAATACAGTATTTTGTTAAAGCAGCCTAAAACATTACATGGTACTGTCAAAAAACAGTGTGGTTTCTTGTTTCTTTTTTTAGGTTTACAATGTTTGTGGATTTTCTGATTATGTTTCTTTTTTCTTTTAAGACAGGGTTTTTACTCCTTTCACCCAGGCTGGAGTACAGTGGTGTGTTCTTGGCTCACTGCAAACTCCACCTCCCGCCCTCATGTTATCCTCCTGCCTCAGCCTCCTGAGTAGCTGGGATTACAGGTGCCCACGACCATGCCCAGCTAATTTTTGTATTTTTAGTAGAGTTGGCGTTTCACCATGTTGGCCAGGCTGGTCTCGAACTCCTGGCCTCAAGTGATCCGCCCACCTCAGCCTCCCAAAGTGCTGGGATTATAGGCATGAGCCACTGCACCCAGGCTTCCATTTTGGGTCATGCTTTTGAATTTTTTTAGCACTCGATGAAATGTTTTGCAGTTGTTAATAATGTTAGCAAGAGCATTTTTGTGTATATTGTGAACAATGCCCCCAGCAAATTTATTTTGAAAGCTTCTTTATTAGGATGGGACCTTTCTGTGCCCGTGGCATCCTGCCAGTAGGTTACATTCACACAATAGGCATTCCCGTTTTATGTTTCTGATTAGCTCTCCTTCAGATAGTGTGTACTTTCATTACATTTCAGAAACCTTAGTCAAGAAGAGAAAAGCTCGTTCCACGCTTCCCCTGAGTACAAGCCTGGACCACAGATCCAAAGAGGAGCTTCATCAGGACTGTTTGGTATTAGCAATGGCAAAGCACTCCAAAGGTACAAAAATATACTTCCTTGGCCTGTCCATAGTCTTCTGGGTCTGGAATATAAGAGATGTTTACTTATTTATTGAATGAATGCCCAAAGAAATGTGTAAAATTGTTTTCTGTTGTATGTTCTTTTCCAGCTTTCCCTTCCCTCCACATCCCTGCACCCCTACACCCTGCTGCCAAAGTCCCCATTGTGACCTACTATCAGTACTGCCATGCCTTTGAGATGTAGTGTTCTGCTTTCATTCTAAATCTAGTTGCTCCCAGCCATCTGTGTGCCAGAATTGGTATGTTGGCTTAAATATCTCAGCACGAATAAACTCCTTCAACTGTTTTTCCCTATTGTACAATATACTTATGGAGAAAAAATTTTTTTCCTTATTGGAAATATATATAATATATTATATATATTTATATATAATATACATAATATATTATAAATATACATAATATATAATATATATATATTACATAATATGTATTTTCCAATAAGGAAAAATTATGTATATATTGTATATATGTATATATATTATTAATGTATATATTATATATACATTATTATGTATTATGTATATATTATATATATATATACACATAATATGGCAGTTCCTTAAAAAAAACTTTTGATGGAAACTTTTGCTTTGGAAGTTTTGTTTTGAAGGGTTTTCTTATTTTTTTTTTTTTTTTTTTGAGACGGAGTTTTGCTCTTGTTACCCGGGCTGGAGTGCAATGGCCCAATCTCGGCTCACCGCAACCTCCGCCTCCTGGGTTCAGGCAATTCTCCTGCCTCAGCCTCCCAAGTAGCTTGGATTACAGGCACACGCCACCATGCCCAGCTAGTTTTTTGTATCTTTAGTAGAGAAGGGGTTTCACCATGTTGACCAGGATAGTCTCGATCTCATGACCTCGTGATCCACCTGCCTCGGCCTCCCAAAGTGCTGGGATTACAGACTTGAGCCACCGCACCCGGCCTTTATTTTTGTTTCTTAATGTCTTCATTTAATTCCCACTCTTTTGATATTTGAGCAACTTTATTTTTTTAATTTGAAGTTTACATGTGGAAAAGGGATGCACACAATAAAATGAAGTTGAAACAGTATAAAAAGAAAGTAAATCTTACCAGGCACAGTGCCTATTATCCCAGATGTTCAAGGGGCTGTAGCAGAAGGATCACTTCAAGGCCAGCCTGGGCCAAGTTTTTAAAATTTTTTTCAAAGTAAACCTCCCTCCCAGTCCTGTCTCTCTTCCCCAGGAATGGAAGGACCATCCTCCCTCCCACTTACTGTCTCCCCTCACCCTAACAAGGGTAGTCACTATCCTGGGCTTCCATTTCTTTATTTCCTTTTAATTTTGTACTGTTTTGTCTGTATCACATAATCAGACTATTATCAGTTTCTTGTGTCTTGCTGGAGATGTTTTATGCTTTTATTGTATACATAGACTTCTCTTTGGAGCTTTCTGATGACTTCCTATAACTTACATAGTTAACCTTATAGTGTCACATTATTTTCCTTACTGAAAAATTACTCAGTTGACTTTATTTTTAAAGCAAAGGATGAATATTGTATCCTCTTGTGGTAAGTCCCAGTGAATACTAAGGACTTTCATTTACTTATTAATTTTATTTCGCTTTTTTTTTTTTTTTTTTTTTTTTTGAGACAGAGTCTTGCTCTTTTGCCAGGCACCAGCAATTCTTGAAGCCTCAGAATTGAAACCTCTGCCTCAGCCTCCCAAGTAGCTGGGACTACAGGCGTGCTCCACCACTCCCAGCTAATTTTTGTATTTTAGTAGAGGCAGGCTTTCACTATGTTGGCCAGGATGGTCTCAATATCTTGACCTCATGATCCACCCACCTCAGCCTCCCAAAGTGCTGGGATTACAGGCGTGAACCACCCCGCCTGGCCTTTTTTTTTTTTAGACAAAGTTTGGCTATTGTTGCCCAGGCTGGAGTGCAATGGCGCAATCTTGGCTCACCACAAACTCCACCTCCCAGCTTCAAGTGATTCTCCTGCCTCAGCCTCCAGAGTAGCTGAGATTACAGGCATGCACCACCATGCCTGGCTAATTTTGTATTCTTAGTAGGTTTCTCCATGTTTGTCTGGCTGGTCTTGAACTCCCAATCTCAAGTGATCCACCTGCCTCGGCCTCCCAAAGTGCTGAGATTATAGGCTTGAGCCACCACACCCAGCCCTTTGCTTGTTTTTTACACACTTAAATACGTGCTTATTGGGTTCACTTTTAACATTTTAAGTGTTTTTGTGTATTGCTCCCTTCATAACTGCAGGAGTCTCTGTTAGAGCTCTGATTCTCTGTGTCTGAAGTGGGTGTTCCAGACGTATATTCAGAAGTTATTGGACAGAAAACTGTAACCTGTGTAATGACTTCATCTTATTTTTTTTTTTTTGCCTTTTTAAATTAACAGAGCTGAATGAAGATGTATCTGCTGATCTTGAGGAAAGATTTCATCTGGGGCTTTTCACAGACAGGGCTACCCTGTACAAAATGATTGATATTGAAGGTGAGGCAAATCCAGTCATCATAATCCCATCCATCTGTATACTTAAATTTCATGTGCACCTTTTTTACAGCTACCATCCTGTGCTATTATATAACGGTTAGTTTTACATGTCAGCTAACTAGGTTTTGAGCTGCCTGACTTACATGTTGATATGTCCCTTGCATCATCGTAGGATCCTAAACATACAGCATTCACTCTGAGTGCAAGTGAAGGTGGGTGAGTGCACAGTGACCGAGTGGGCTTCAGGTCCCATTGTAATCACTCTGGTAGGTGACACCCATCAGAGAGTGACTGCATATTTCAGGAGCTCACTTTCTCTTCTGTCTTGCCTTTTTCTACAAGTCAGTGACAGATGTTTCTGAAACACCTTCCAAACATTATCTCTCTTTCAAACAGGAAAAGGTCACTTAGAAAATGGCCACCCTGAGTTATTTCACCAGCTTATGCTTTGGAAAGGAGATCTCAAAGGTGTTCTCCAGACTGCAGCAGAAAGAGGGGAGCTGACAGACAACCTTGTGGCTATGGCACCAGCGGGTATAGTTTTTGTTTGTTTGTTCTTTTCAACAAAAGCCCTATCATCTCTAGGATACATCCACTCAAGATGGCTCTTAGCAGTATCAGTCTTAAGCTTGAAATCTTATGAAGGCCGGGCGCAGTGGCTTACGCCTGTAATCCCAGCTCTTTGGGTGGCCGAGGTGGGCAGATCACTTGAGGTCAGGAGCTTGAGACCAGCCTGGCCAATATAGTGAAACTGCGTCTCTACTTAAAATGCAGAAATTAGCCAGGCATGGTAGCAAATGCCTGTAATCCAAGCTACAGGGGAGGCTGAGGCAGGAGAATCACTTGAACCCTGGAGAAGGAGATTGTGGTGAGCCCAAGATTGTGCCACTGCACTCCAGCCTGTGTGACAGAGTGAGACTCCATCTCAAAAAAAAAAAAAGAATCACTTATGAATAGGCACAAAGCTAATCCTGTTTGCAGCAATAGACAAACTACATCAACCCAACCCCTTTAAGAAAAAAGGCAGGTCACTGACACTTAAATGGCAAAAGCGTAATTGGTGAGAATTTCTCAAAGGACAATTTGGCCATGTCTGATAAATTTTAAAGATGCATTGGCACAAGTCTGAAGTCCTCAGCTGCTCTGGAGGCTGAGGCAGGAGGATTGCTTAACAATAGGTGTTCAAACCCATAGGGTACTGTTAAGTGTGCCTGTGAATAGCCATTGTACTCTGTCCTGGGCGACACAGGCTGGAGTGCAGTGGCACAATCTTGGCTCACCACAATCTCTTTCTCCAGAGTTCAAGTGATTCTCCTGCATCAGCCTCCCCTGTAGTCTGGCCACGGTGGCTCACACCTATAATCCCAGCACTTTGGGAGGCCGAGGCGGGCGGATCACAAGGTCAAGTGATCGAGACCATCCTGGCCAACATGGTGAAAGCCCATCTCTACTAAAAGTACAAAAAATTAGCCGAGTGTGGTGGTGTGTGCCTGTTGTCCCAGCTACTCAGGAGGCTGAAGCAGGAGAATTGTTTGAAATGGGAAAATGGAAGTTGCAGTGAGCCGGGATCAGGCCACTGAACTCCAGCCTGGCGATAGAGTGAGGCTCTGTATCAAAAGAAAAAAAACATGTAAGCATGTTACCTTTGGCTCATCTATTCTGATTACTGGAATTTATCTCCTGTGCTCACACACTGCTTTCTGTATCTTTTCAACTTTATACTGTTTTGTTTGTGTTACATAATCAAACAGTTGGTGTTTCAGAATGTGTAGATGAAGCAGATGATCAGTAATGGTAGCTTAAATTGGTATCTAAATGTTCGGCTGAATGCATTGACTGAAAACAAGGCTTTTTCAACCCAGATGTACTTGGTTTTGTTTTTACTTTTTCCGACATTTTTTTTAACCACCATCTTTTATTCTTTCAGCTGGCTACCACGTGTGGCTCTGGGCTGTGGAAGCTTTTGCCAAACAGCTGTGTTTTCAGGATCAGTATGTCAAGGCCGCTTCTCACCTACTTTCCATCCACAAAGTGTATGAAGCTGTGGCGCTGCTGAAGTCAAACCATTTTTACAGGTCTGTGTGGTCTTAGAGTTGGAGTAATACTTGTGACATAATGTCGCAAGTTGGACATAATGTGAAACTGATCTAAACTTCTTTATTGTTAAAGTAACATAAATAGAAGAAATAGCATAAAACAAAAGAACAGCTTAATGAATTGTTACAAGAGGAACTCCCTTTTTAATTCCCATCTTTGAAGGGAAACTGAATCTTGCCAGGCACCCCAAAAACTTTTCGTGTACTCTCAAGTTTAACTTTTCTTTTGGAAATATATAACATTGGCCAGGTGCCGTGGCTCATGCCTGTAATCCCAGCACTTTGGGAGGCCGAAGTGGCTTGAGCTCAAGTTCAAGACCAGCCTCTGCCTCCCTAAGAGCTGGGATTATGCGATTATGGGTGTGAGCCTCTATGTCCGGCAGCCTGTGTAATTTTTTTTTTTTTTTTTTTTTTTTTGAGACAGAGTCTCACTCTGCTGCCCAGGCTGGAGTGCAGTGGCACAATCTTGGCTCACTATAACCTCCACCTCCTGGGTTCAAGCGATTGCGCTGCCTCAGCCTCCTGAGTAACTGGAAATAAAGGTTCATGCCACCACGCCCAGCTAATTTTTGTATTTTTATTAGAGTATTTTAATTTATCAGTTTATTTCCAAATAATATTATATCACTTTTTATATATAATAGTATACTTCTTCCTCCATTCTTTCTCCTTTCGTCATATATTTGGTATATTAGATACATGTTATAACCACACTATCAGTATTTTTGCTTTAAACAGTTGATGCTTTTTTTTGGTCAGACAAGGTCTTGCTCTTTTGCCCAGGCTGGAATACAGCAGCAAGATCATAGCTTACTGCAACCTCTGCCTCACAGGCTCTTTAAACATTTTTCATAAAGTTTTTTTTAATATATATTTTTTTCCAAGTCCAAGTCAGATGGGTAATGTGCCGACGTTGTAACAAGGTGCAAGGGTGGCACATCTCACACAAGCATGTGAACACCAAATCATCATACTCATGAACTACAAAAGGAACTTCTTTAAACATTTTTTTACATTTACCTACAAGCTTATTATTTCAGCACTTTTCATTCTTTATGTAGGTCCAAGTTTTCAGTTGCTGTCAATTCCTTCACCTGAAGAACTTCAACTTTTTTTTTCTATAAAAGTCTAATTTCACTTTGACATTATTTCAGAGATTATTTCACGGGGTATAGGATTCTAGATTGGAAGTTTTTTCTCTCTCAGCACTTCAAAGATGTCATTTCATTGTCTTGGCTTGCATTGTGTTTGACTTGGCTATTGCACTGATTTTATCTCTGTTATTTTGTATTTTTTATTTGGCTATGTTTAGGACTTCTCCATCAGTAATTCTTCAATAATTTGATGTGATGTGCTTTGGTGAGATTTTCTTTTTTTTTCTTTGCCTGAGACAGGGTCTTGTTCTGTTGCACAGGCTGGAGTGCAGTGACACAGTCACAGCTCACTGTAGCCTTGACCTCCTGGGATCAAGCAATCCTCCTGCCTCAGCCCCCTGAGTAACTGGGACTACTCAGGAGATGCATGCCACCACATCCAGCTAATTTTTTAGTTTTTTGTAGAGACGGAGTCTTACTGTGTTAACCAAACTGATTTCCAACTCCTGGTCTCAAGCGATCCTCCTGCCTCAGCCTCCCAAAGTGCTGGGATTACTCGCATGAGCCACCACACTTGGTCAAGATTTTCTTTCTATTCTACCCTGCTTTGCTTTTGTTGTCTTCCTGTAGAGAGTATTGAACTTTGTTTTGGCAAGTAGTAAAGTTGGGCATCAGCTTGATCTTTTCATGGCTTGTTTTTATACTTTGTTAGGGCAGGTTTATCATATTCTAGAATTAGTTCGGACCTCCTACATTCTGGTATCTTTATTGAATGCCTTACGCTTTCAACAAATCAAAACTCAGGTGTCTCCAAGTCCTGAGTAATGTCTGGGAATTGTTCAGCTTACAATTCCATAGTCATTCTTTGTTTAGACTTAAGGAGTTTCCTGTACATATGGCTTTGAATTTAGCCAAAGACTCACTGGGATCCCCAGGCAGAGTTGTGGATATCTTTGTCTGGACAGCTTCCTCCTTCCTAGTATCCTGCCCCTCAGATTTCAGTCGTTTCCTCTCCTCAAGTCAGAGACTGCGGAGGTTTTGCTTGGGTTTTCCTCAGGAAAATGGCTTTAGGCAGAAAGCCAGTGCCGAGATAGGGCTTACGTTGTTAGTTTCTGTTCTCTTAGGGATAACAGTCCTAAGCTGCCTGCAGTGTCTGAAAACAGTTGTTTCAGACGTTTTGTCCAGTTTTTTAGTTTTATGGCAGGAAGGTAAGTCTGATCCCAGTTATTCCATCATGGTTGGAAGTAGAAGTCCCAAAATACTTTCAAGATATTGCTCTCTCTAGATCACTTTCATCTAATAAAACACTTTTTTACAGCTACAACTTTATGTTGGCCACACCTCAGCAGTTGTATGTCATTTGAAAAGTATTCATTTACTGAGTTGTACAGATCTTCCAAATGTTAACATGTGTCACTATGAAATACCCTAAAGTATCATGTTCCTTATTATCACCATCAGTCTCATCAGAAAAATTCTAACTTATGGGAAAATGTCAAGCTCACAAGTGGTAGGTACAAGATTTCTAAAATTCTAATTTTTGCTGGAAAACAGATACTGTTGGTTGTTTTTCTGAAGTGGTAGACCTACTTTGTTCATTTTTTTTTTCTTTTGAGGAAAACATCTGACAAATACCCCACACTGAGTAACTGTTATTTATGTTAGTCTTTCTTTTTTTTTAAAGAAGAAATGAGGTTCTGTGGAAAAAGCCAGTGTAGCTTGCAATTCATTCATTCAGGTGCTTCTTAGAGACCATCGTCCTATTTTGGAATGCAGCAGAGAACACAAAATGTTCTTCCCATTTGTCACACAGAATATTAACGTGTTTTGGACTTGAGGGATTTAGTAAAATTAGTGATTTTTACTACTTCATCGAGTGCATTCATCCTTTTTTTCCACTGTAAAAGCCACTGCCTTCTGTTTTAAATGCCAGAATTTACCAACCATTGCTTTTGCACAATCACTGAAAATATCAACACAGGTTTTTTTTATTTTAAATAAAAAGACATGGCTGGGCACGGTGGCTCATGCCTATAATCCTAGCACTTTGGGAGGCCTCAGCAGGCAGATCAGAAGGTCAGGAGATCAAGACCATCCTGGCTAACGGTGAAACCCTGTCTCTACTGAAATACAAAAATTAGCCAGGTGTGGTGGCGCACGCCTGTAGTCTCCACCACTTGGAAGACTGAGGCAGTAGAATCACCTGAACCCGGGAGGTGGAGGTTGCAGTGGGCTGAGATTGTACCACTGCACTCCAGCCTGGGCAACAGAGCGAGACTCCATCTCAAAGGAAAAACGCACATAACATACTCTTAGCATTGTTACAAAAACAGTTTTAACCTCATGAATACCCTGAAAGGGTCTTGAGGACTCCTAGGAATCCGCAGACCACAGTTTGAGAACTACTAATCTAAGCCAGGAAATGAATGCAGCATATATTTTTAATTTGTCTATATAATGCAAGTGCAGTTTTTTAAAGGAGGTTGGAACAATAAAGACAACACAAAAGGGATAGTTTGTCCTGTCTTGCAGCCACTACTAGGGCCATACACAGAAGAGGCTTTTCAGAGTGGCTGAAGTGTCTGTTCTTGCCTTTAGGGAAGCTATTGCAGTTGCCAAGGCCCGGCTGCGTCCAGAGGACCCAGTCCTGAAGGACTTGTACCTAAGCTGGGGAACCGTCCTAGAAAGAGATGGCCATTATGCCATAGCAGCCAAATGGTAAGCCTGAGGAGAGGAGGGATGCATCCAACATAGAAGAGCTTCTGCCAAAAAGAGCAGGACAAGAATACAAGTATTAAGTTTAGAGGTGGAGGTGAAGCAGCAAGAAACTATTTAAAAGATACGTATATTCAAACCAGTTGACTCATCAGGAACTACCTCCTGATTTATTTATAGAAATCGCCATAACTGGCTGGGCCTGGTGGCTCACGCCTGTAATCCCAGCACTTTGGGAGACCGAGGTGAGCAGATAACAAGGTCAGGAGTTCAAGACCAGCCTGACCAACATGGTGAAACCCCATCTCTACTAAAAATACAAAAATTAGCCCGGTGTGGCAGTATATGCCTGTAATCCCAGCTACTCGGGAAGCTGAGGCAGGAGAATCACTTGAACCAGGGAGGCGGAGGTTGCATTGAGCCGAGATCGCGCCACTGCTCTCTAGCCTGGGTGACAAAAGTAAGACTGTCTCAAAAAAAAAAAATCGCCATAACTGTTCAAGAAACCTCAGTAGCAGATTCAGAAATTACGCATTTTTCTAATGATCTCTTATAACATCAAATAAAGGAACCTCAGCCCATGCTGAATTGAACCCAAACAGAGGAGTTCCCTCTCATTTTCCTTATGTCCTTAACCTATATGATATTGTTTCTCATTCACTGCTGAACTGTGCTGGCCTCAGCCTTCACAGGAACAACCAGGGGCAGTGACATACCTAGGACCACAGGAAGGCACATGCAGCAAAGTGGACAGAAAGAAACGATTGCATCCTCTAGGGAGTGGGAATAAAAGATCTGTTTATGACATTTTGTTCACATTTTTATTCATATTATAGCTACTTAGGGGCCACTTCTGCTTATGATGCAGCCAAAGTTTTGGCCAAAAAGGGGGATGCAGCATCACTTAGAACAGCTGCAGAGTTGGCTGGCATCGTAGGAGAGGATGAGTTGTCTGCTTCCCTGGCTCTCAGATGTGCCCAAGAGCTGCTTCTGGCCAACAACTGGGTGGGAGCCCAGGAAGCCCTGCAGCTGCATGCAAGTCTACAGGTCAGTCTGTTATTTTATCTCCTAGTATATAAGTCAGAAGTGTCCCAAATCCTTTTCTAGTCAAATCCAAGTTAATAACCCAGTTGCACAAGCTGTGCCAATTTGGCAGGCCCAGCAAGCCCTGGCCATGCTATTCCACAGAAGTACTATGGCTTGTTAGTTGCCATATTGAGTAAGAGATAGTATGGTCATTCACAGTAATTCCCATCGCTTATCTGTTTGCACAAAACACTGTGAAGACTTTAGTCAGCCCAGGCCTTGGGTTGGCAGTCTGGGGTTTCTTCATTGATATTATCAGCACTGTCTTCCTTGAAGAGAGAATATTGGGCCTCTAACAAAAATCATGGAACTCTACCTGTAACACACCTGTTAACTGTAAGCTATAGAAAAAACTGGGCCAGGCACAACAGATCACTTGAGGTCAGGAATGGTGGCACATGTCCGTAATCCCGGCCACTTGGGAGGCTGAGTCACTTGAATGAACCCAGGAGGCAGAAATTGCATTGAGCCACGATCATGCCACTGCACTGCAGCCTGGGCAACAGAGTGAGACTCTGTCTCTAGAAAACAAAGAGAAAAGTGTGGGGAAATAGAAAGGTCTTATTTCTTAAATTTTTTTGGTTCCCATCTGGTTAAAAATGAGTAACTCACCACTGCCTTTTAGACACATCAAAACAAATTAAAGCATTAGCATTCTTACCTAGTTTCCAAAACATGTAAACATTCAATTCATTGTAGATAACTTTATCAGACACTAATGAATTTTTTTAAGTTCTTTGTTCCCTAGCAGAGTATGGGGCCTAAAGATGGTTTTTAGCTGAATATTTGGACCCAAGGAACATGGTACATGGGGAGGTAGCTTTCTGGGAACAGCAGAATAAAAATGGAGGCAAAAATAGGACACCCTAAAAGATAATGCCACTGAGCATTATTTATAAAATGACCAAGTCTAGAGAGATTTTAATTTATCCACAACCAAAAAAAGTTTCCAGAATGACTGTTTAACATTTTATTTTTTCTCTTAAACAGCATCCTTAACAATGCAAGAAAACCTAATAAGCATATGCTAAGTATTCTGATAAGCACATGCTAAATATTCTGATAAGGGCTATATTGGCTGTGTGGAACATAGACCCTTCCAAGCTTAACTGAGAAGATACTGTTATAGGGGTATCCAAGGAATCTTACGGCAATTAAAAATCTAGTGAAAACAGATTTTCTAGGGCTTCTCTCTATGCTTCTGTTTTCTTCTCTCCCAGCTGATTTACTCTATTAAACCTATTTGGACATGGCCCCTAATGCCTGTCCTAGCTCCTGGATATACAAAGCTTGTCTGTTCCAGCATCTTTGGCCCATTATGCTTTTATTCCTGAGTCCAAAGTTTGGGCAGGGAGAAAGAACCTGATGAGCCCAGCCCATCTTTTCTCAAATTAGGCTACAAGTCTTAAGTGGCTGGCCTATGTATGGCTTAAATCATAGTGGATAGGGCTATAGTTGGGATTCCATGGTAGAAAAATGGTTTTTAGAGCTCCAAGGATAGATTTCCCCCAAAAGGGACCTGGGAAATGTCCATCAGAATGCCCCTTTTATACCTTTTTCATGCATGACTCACTAATATGCTTTGGTTGCTGTGGATAAAAAGGGAAATACTTTAAAGGACTCTGGAGAGCTCTCAAGATCATCCAAGTGCTTTCCCTGTATAACAGTTTCTCTTCCTTGCTGTTCTGTTCCAGGGTCAGAGATTGGTGTTTTGCCTTCTGGAGCTACTATTCAGGCATCTAGAAGAAAAGCAGCTTTCAGAAGGCAAAAGTTCCTCCTCTTATCACACTTGGACCATAGGCACCGAAGGGCCTTTCATGGAGAGGGTGACTGCAGTGTGGAAGAGCATCTTCAGCCTTGACACCCCTGAGCAGTATCAGGAAGCCTTTCAGAAGCTGCAGAACATCAAGTACCCATCTGCTACAAATAATACACCCTCCAAACAGGTATGCCATCTGTACCAATTTTTGACATTAATAAGACTTCTTTAATCCATGTGTTTTAGTTTGAGACAGAGTCTTGCTCTGTCGCCCAAGTTGGTGTGCAGTGGTGTGATCTTGGCTTACTACAACTGCCACCTCCCAGGTTTAAGTGATTCTCCTGCCTCAGCCTCCCAAGTAGCTGTGATTACAGGCATGTGCCACCACGCCCAGCCAGTATTCCCTTAAAAAAAAAAAAGTGTCAAGGGCCAGGCGCGGTGGCTCATGCCTATAGCACTTTGGGAGGCTGAGGCAGGTGGATCACGAGGTCAAGAGATCGAGACCATCTTGGTCAACATGGTGAAACCCCGTCTCTACTAAAAATACAAAAAATTAGCTGGGCATGGTGGCGCGTGCCTGTAATCCCAGCTACTCAGGAAGCTGAGGCAGGAGAATTGCCTGAACCCAGGAGGTAGAGGTTGCGGTGAGCCGAGATCCCGCCATTGCACTCCAGCCTGGGTAACAAGAGCAAAACTCCATCTCAAAAAAAAAAAGTCAAAAAAATAAAGAAAATCAAAATAATGTAATACCCATCAACCAGAATTTATACATGTTCACCTAGTCATTTTTACTTTGTAGAGTTTTCTGGTTTCATTTTGTATTTTGATTTGAGGACTTTTTAAAATAAAGCAGTACAGTAAAGTTGAAGTCCTTGTTCCCTTCCTCAGCCCTTCACTGCTTCCTTAGCTCACCAAAGGTAACTCCTGTGTCGGTACTACATGTATTATTTTTCAGTTTGCTTATTTCAGAAGCTATTGCTTGTAAAAATCTATCCATGTTGATATAAAGAGATCAGCTGATTTATATTAACTGCTGTGTCTGTCTTGTGAATATACCTACTTCTTTTTTTTTTTTTTTCCCGTCTGTAGAGACTAGGTCTCACTGTTACCCAGGCTGGTCTCGAACTCCTCAAGCAGGAGTCCTCAAGCCCCAGCCTCCCAAAGTACTGGGATTACAGACATGAACCACTATGCCTGACATAGTTCTTTCCCTCATTTTAAAATGGGGCAACATTATATTTATGAGGAACAAGACCTCTCAAATGGTATCTACTTTGAAACAGGCAATTTCTTTTTTTGTGTTTTTTTGTTTTGTTTTGTTTTTTTGAGGTGGAGTTTCACTCTTTCAACCAGGCTGGAGTGCAATGGTGCGATCTCTGCTCACTGTAACCTCTGCCTCCCAGGTTCAAGCGATTCTTCTGCCTCAGCCTCCAAAGTAGCTGGGATTACAGGCATACACCACCACACCCAGCTAATATTTTTTGTATTTTTACTAGAGACGGAGTTTCACTCTGTTGGCCCGGTTAGTCTTGAACTTCTAACACAGTGTGAGCCACTGTGTCCAGCCAGGCAGTTTCTTATTAAGTTAAACGTGCACATGCCAAATGTCCCAGTGGTTCTACTACCCAGATATTCCCCTAAATAAAATAATCAGATGGCCACGCAAAGACTTGTACACAAATATTTACAGCAGCTCAGCCTAGCACAATAGCCCAAAACTAGAAACAACCCAAATGTCCATCATCTACTGAATGGATATACAAACTGTATTGTGTCTATACAGTGAAATACGGTACTGTTTAACAAAAAAAAGTGCCAGACTTGGTGGCTCACACCTGTAATCCCAGCACTTTAGGAGGCCAAAATGGGTGGATCACTTGAGCTCAAGAGTTCGAGACCAGCCTGGGCAACATGATGAAACCCCATCTCTACTAAAAATACAAGAATTAGCCGGGTATGGTGGTGCAAGCCTGTAATCACAGCTACTCAGATGGCTAAGGCAGGAGGATCATTCAAATCTGGGAGGCAGAGCCTGCAGGGAGCCAAGATGGTAGGTACCACTGCACTCCAGCCTGGGTAATAGAATGAGACCCTGTATCAAGAAAAATGTAAAAAGGAACAAATTACTGGCACACAAATAATATCAGTGAATCTCGAAAGCCTTAAAGACACAAAAGACCATATATTCTGTGGTTCATTTGTATGCATTCTAGAAAAGACAAAATTAAAGTGACAAAACAACCAGCTCAGTGGTTGCCATTGGGGTTGGGAAAGGGGATCGCCTGCAGAGGAGCCAGTGGGAGTATCTTCAGTTAATGAAAATGTCTTGATTTTGCTGGTAGTTATGGAACTGTATGTGTTTCTCAGAATTTATGAAACTACATACTTAAAATTGATCACACTTTTCTTAGTTATACTCCAAGCTTTGTTTTAATTATTTATTTTATTTATTCATTTTTTTGAGACAGTCTCACTCTGTCACCCAGGCTGGAGTGCAATGGCACGATGTTGGCTCGCTGCAACCTCTGCTTCCCAGTTTCAAGTGATTCTTCCGCCTAAGCTTCCCAAGTACCTGGGATTACAGATGCATGCCACCATGCTCACCTAAGTTTTGGATTTTTGTAGAGAGAGACTTTTACCATGTTGGCCAGGCTGGTCTTAAACTCCTGGCCTCAGGTGATCCATCCACCTCGGCCTCCCAAAGTGCTGGGATTATAGATGTGAACCACTGCACCTAGCATTTATTTTGTTTTTAATTATAGCTTTTAGTTCTAGAAACTCACTTTTTGTTTTAATTAAATGCAAATGTAAAGGTGTTTCCTCAATGGGAACAGATTTTAACAGCGGTATGTGTATGTTGCTGTGCAGCTAGACATGAGGGTTTCTGATGGGGAAAACAAAAATGCGTGGTGGAGCAAGAGGAACTTTCTTTTTTTTTTTTGAGACGGAGTTTCGCTCTTGTTACCCAGGCTGGAGTGCAATGGCGCGATCTCGGCTCACCACAACCTCCACCTCCTGGGTTCAGGCAATTCTCCTGCCTCAGCCTCCTGAGAAGCTGGGATTACAGGCACGAGCCACCGTGCCCAGCTAATTTTTTGTATTTTTAGTAGAGACGGGGTTTCACCATGTTGACCAGGATGGTCTCGATCTCTTGACCTCGTGATCAACCCGCCTCGGCCTCCCAAAGTGCTGGGATTACAGGCATGAGCCACCACGCCCGGCCGACAAGAGGAAGTTTCATAAGTGAATTGTGTGTTCTTGTTTCCATCTGTGGTTAACAGGAACGGTTTGGTGGCATCCTCGGCACCTACTATGGGAAGATGTTTAACTCAGACTCTGGCTTCTCTCTCCAGCTCCTGCTTCATATTTGCCATGACTTGACCCTGGCAGTGCTGAGCCAGCAGATGGCCTCCTGGGACGAGGCTGTGCAGGCGTTCCTTCGGGCAGTGGTCCGGAGCTATGACTCAGGGAGCTTCACCATCATGCAGGAAGTGTACTCAGCTTTTCTCCCTGACGGTAAATGACTCCCCCCCCGCTTGAGGCACACATTTTAATGGACAGCATCACCACCACTAGTGGTGTGGCACTGAGAGTACCTAGATTATTAACAGATGGAGACTAATGCAGTATAGCTAATTAAAAATAAGATGGGGACTGGCCAGCTGTGTCATTTTAGTAGAAAGTTTGAATTCTCTTACCCACACTCTTAAGAACAAATACACTGTTTTCCTTTACCTGGCCCTGCCCCCTTAGTGCCTCCTGTCCACTTTCCACACAGTCAGTTTAAGGAAAAGAGAAATAGGAATATATTTACGTGTTAGTAAGATCAGAAAAGAACAGCAAAAAGATAGACATTGCTTGAGCTGCACAGTCAGTCACTGAACTAAATCATTGTGATTTTTCAGAGAGACAGTGTGATCTTACCTTGGTGTGGCCCCGGAGCCTTCAGTAGAACAAACGGGATATTCTGCCATGCTTTGAATGACTCCAGGATGTAGTAATGAGAACATTGTCCCAAGCCAGGAAATGTTTAGCCTCCACCTGGCTCTTGGTGGAAAGGCATGTGGCCCTGTGGATCACACCATTATCTTTTTTCTTGGAGTCTGCTTCTTGGGTGATAAGAAGTAGAACATAAGGGCAGGAAGCTAGATTTCTGGCAACTAGAAAAATGCACGACCCAAAATCTTTTTCTTCTTTTCCTAGGCTGTGACCACCTAAAAGACAAATTGGTTGACCATCAATCCCCTGCCATACCAGCTTTCAAAAGTTTGGAGGCCTTTTTTCTTTATGGGCGTCTGTATGAATTCTGGTGGTCTCTCTCCAGGCCTTGCCCAAATTCCAGTGTCTGGGTAAGGCCTGGTCACAGCACATTCTCTGTTGAGCCAAGCCAGCAGTTAGACACTATCAGCACTGAAGAAACTGACCCTGAAACTTCTCAGCCAGAGCCAAGCAGGCCTTCAGAACTAGACTTGAGACTCACAAAAGAAGGTGAGCGAATACTGAGCACATTTAAGGCGCTCCTTTCAGAAAAGCATGCCAGTCTCCAAAACTCACAGAGAACTGTTGCTGAAGTCCAAGAGACCTTGGCAGAAATGATCCGCCAACACCAGAAGAGTCAACTCTGTAAATCCACAGCAAATGGTCCTGATAAGAGTGAACCGGACCTAGAAGCAGAGCCTCTCTCCAGTTCTCAGAGCCAGTGGTAAGTACTGAGGCAAGTACAAGACAGAATGAAAAATAACCCTGCTGCCTAGGAACAGGGGCTCACGCCTGTAATCCCAGCACTTTGGGAGGCTGAAGCAGGAGGATCACTTGGCCGTGGAGTTCATGGCCAGCCTGGGCAACAAAGCAAGACCCTGTCTCTACAAAAAAAAAAAAAAAAAAAGGCCAAGTGCAAGTGGATCATGCCTGTAATCGCAGCACTTTGGGAGGCCGAGGTGGGTGTATTACTTGAAGTCAGGAGTTCAAGACCAACCTGGCCAACATGGTGAAACCCTGTCTCTACTAAAAATACAAACATTGGCTGGGTGTGGTGGCACAGGCCTATAATCCCAGCTACTTGGGAGGCTGAGGTCAGAGAATCACTTGAACCTGGGCAGCAGAGGTTGCAGTGAGCCAAGATCATACCAATGCAGCCCAGAGAACAGAGCAAGAAAGCATCTAAAAAAAAAAAAAGCCAGGTGTGGTGGAACATACCCTGTAGTCCCAGCCACTTAGGAGGCTAAGACAGAAGGATCACTTGAGCCCAGGAGGTCAAGTCTACAACAGTGAGCTATGGTTGCATATCTGTACTACATCCTGGGTGACAGAGCAAGTCCCTGTCTCCAAAAAAAATTTAAAAAAGGAAAATAACCCTGTTGGATTCTCATGTATTTAGGTCAGAATTAGTACATGGTGCTACTGATCAAGTCACTTGAAAGCAGCAAAATGTAATAACTAAGACGCAGGCTTTGGGGGTCAGATGTGAATTCTAACCCTTACCCAGTTAAGTGAACTCAGGCAAGTTTCTTAATGTCTCTGAGCTTTAGTTTCCTCATCTACAAATGGGGATACCAGCTCCTACCTTTGGTGGTTTTGAGAATGAAACAAATTATATATATTGTTAGTATTAATAGTACAATAAAATCTTACCATTGTGTGCTAAGTAGATTCCCCCCAAAAAATCAATCATGTAAAATGTGAAGTTGCATTACTGCATCATTATTGAAAAACACTGTTTTTCAGTGGTCCTATACTATAACAAAACACACAAAGGGTAGTATGTAAAACTTCACGTTGAACTGAGAAAAGTCCCAAATAATCGGAATCCTGTCACTTCCTAATCACTTCCATTGGAGGCAGAAGCTGCAGTGAGCCAGGCTCACAGCACTGCACTCCAACCTGGGCGACAGAACAAGACTCTGTCTCAAAAAAAAAAAAAGAAAAGAAAGTAGAGGCCAGGTGGAAGGATCCAGTCACCAGTCACTATAGAGCTGAATTTGCTTTCTTACCGGGTACTTTGCTGAGGTTTGTAGTGAGTAACAATTTTTGTTTTGTTTTGTGTTGTGTTGTGTTGTTTTGTTTTGTAATGGAGTCTTGCTCTGTCACCCAGGCTGGAGTGCAGTGGCACAATCTCAGCTCACTGCAACCTCTGCTTCCCAGGTTCAAATAACTGCTCTGCCAGGTGGGAGTACAGGCGCTTATTACTTGGCTATTATGCTGAATGCATTTTGATTATATTCCTTAGCACAGGGTGTAGAACATAGTAACTAGTATAATCAATAAACTTATAGCTGTTACTACTAACTTTAAAAAAATTAAACTAAGAAGCTTTGAAGTCCCTCCAAAAGTACTCCCATTGAAATCCATGAGTCAGATTTGAGTCACTTGTATAGTAAGCTACTCTATACCCTAGGCAGCTTTTAGGTGTGCCTTTTTTTTTTTTTTTTTTAAGACAGGTCTTACCCTGTCATCCAAGCTGGAGTACAGTGGCATAACCATAGCTCACTGCAGCGTTAAAATTCCTAGGCTCAAGCAATCCTCTCACCTCAACCTCCCAAGTAGCTTGTGCCACCACACCCAGCTAAGTTTATTAAAATTTTTTTCTAGAGATGGGTGTCTTACTATGTTGCCCAAGCTAGTCTTGAACTCTTGGCCTCAAAATGATCCTTCCACCTCAGCCTCCCAAAGTGCTGGGATTACAGGCATGACCCACCATGCCCAGTTGGTTTCTGTATTTAAAGATGAGAGATACAGAGCCAGATGGCAGAGCAAGGCATGGTGGCTCACACCTGTATTCCTAGCTACTTAGGAGGCTGAGGCAGGAGGATCACTTGAGACCAGGAGCTCAAGTTCATCCTAGGCAACATATTGAGACCCTATCTCTAGAAAAATTAATTTTTTAAAATTAGCCGGGTGTGGTGGTATGCATTTGTAGTCCCAGCTACTCAGGAGGCTGAGATGGGAGGATCACTTGAGCCCAGGAGTTCAAGGCTGTAGTGAGATTTGTTCGTGCCACTCACACCAGCCTGTTGACAGTAAGACCCTGTCTCCACACACACACAAAAAATTGCATTTTTAAAAACCCAGGTGACAAGGGAATTTTATTTATAAAATGAGATAAAAGTTACCCAGGCAGGGGCACATGTTCTCAGGACCTCCTGAGGGCTGTGTCACGGGCAAAAGTTTAAATTTAAAAAAATTTTTTAATAAAAGACAAAAGTATAATAAAAGATAACCTAATTAAAGGATGGGCAAAGAACTTGAATAGACATTTCTCTGAAAAGCCAGTAAGCACAGAAAATGATGCTCAACATCTGATCATTAGGGGAATGCAAATCAAAACTACAGTGAAATAGCACTTCATAGCCATTAGGCTATCAAAGAAACAGACAAGTGCTGAGGAGGATGCAGAGAAAGTGGAACCCTGTGCCCTGTTGCTGGGAATGCAAACTGATGCAGCCACTGTGGAAAACCGTCTGGCAACAGTTCCTCAAAAAATTTAAGATAGAATTACCACAGGATCCAGCACTTCCACATCTGGGTATACACCCAAAAGAATTGAAAGCAGGGTCTGAAATACATTGTGAAATATGTGCATGCCAATGTTCATAGCAGCATTACTCATAATACCCAAAATATGGCAGCAACCTAAGTATCCACTGACAGATGAACAGCTAAGCAAAATGTGGCAGATGGAATGTCATTCAGCCTTACAAAGGAAGGACATTATGCTGAGTGAAATACGCCAGTCACAAAAAGACATACACTGTATGATTCCACTTATATGAGGTACTCAAAATCCGGTGGCTCACGCCTGTATTCCCAGCATTTTGGGAGGCCAAGGCAGGCAGATCACAAGGTCAGGAGTTCGAGACCAGCCTGACCAATATGGTGAAACCCCATCTCTACTGAAAATACAAAAATTAGGTGGGCATGGTGGCAGGCACCCATAATCCCAGCTACTCAGGAGGCTGAGGCAGGAGAATCACTTGAACCCAGTAGGCAGAGGTTACAGTGAGCTGAGATTGTGCCACTGTACACTAGCCTGGGCGACAGAGCAACACTCCATCTCAAAAATATATATATATATATTTAAAATCGTAGAGACAGAAAGTATAATGAAGTTGACAGAGGCTGTTTAATGGGTGTAAAATTTCAGGTTTTGTTACAAAACAACAAGAGTTTTGGAAATGGATGGTGGGGCTGTTTTTCACATTATGAGTGTATTTAAAACCACTGGACTGCCGGGCGCGGTGGCTCACACCTGTAATCCTAGCATTTTGGGAGGCCGAGGTGGGTGGATCACCTGAGGTCAGGAGTTCAAAACCAACCTGGCCATCATGGTGAAACCTCATCTTTAAAAATAAAAGTAAACCACTGTACTATGTATTTTTAAATGGCTAAGATGGTAAGTTTTATGTTATATATATTTTACCACAGTAAAAACAACAGGAGAAAAAAGTTACCCAGAGCAAGACATATGACTTACACCTTTTATTTTTTTCACTAGTAAAGAAGAAAAAAACGAGCCACTTTCTCTGCCTGAATTAACCAAAAGGCTTACAGAGGCCAATCAGAGAATGGCGAAATTTCCCGAGAGTGTTAAGGTAAGAGTTAAAGCAGTTCACTTGGTAAAGCATTACTTTTTGTGTTATCACTTGAGTATGCCACGTTCTTACAGGTCATCTACCTCTCTGTTCAGTTTCTAAAATGTCTACCCATTCGTACATGCTTAAAAATATAGAATCCAATTACTTTGGTTAGCTGGAATGTTTTGTGAGAGTAGCATTATTGATCACACAAGCAGTTTTATACCTCAGTCTTCAGAGAAACCAAATACATTTAATAGGTAAGAAGTAAAATTTAAATTGGTGCCATGTATTAAATAGCTTACAGATGGACAGGTCTTTTTGGTTGTGGACCCAAATAGTAATAGAAGCACCATTTTTAAGGGTTGCGTTACATAGGGCTGTAGAAAAAGATTGTGCCATTGAGGACATCCCATTAGCCATCCCAGCTTTGAGTGTCATCTCTCCTTGGAGTAACTGTTGAAGAGAAAGGACATTGCCTTAGGAGAGAACTGGCTCAGCTGTGTCTAAGAAGTGTCTGTAGGTGAACCTGAGTTACTGGTGCCTTCTAAGCAGATGTTTGTGGCTCTTTCGCAAACGTTTCCTTATTCATCCTTTTGTCATCTTTCAGGCCTGGCCCTTCCCGGATGTGCTGGAGTGCTGCCTCATCTTCCTTCTCATCAGGTTCCACTTTCCTGACTGTCTGACCCAGGAAATGCAGCAGCAGGCCCAAGAGCTCCTTCAGAAATACGGCAACACTAAAACTTACCAAAGGCACTGCCAGACCTTCTGCACATGAATTTTCACAACCTTGAAGAAACTGCCAAATTGAAAATGTTTGACACCTTTCACTTCTGCAGTTACACCTCACCAGGCATTCACTCTGGTCCCTGATGTTTTTGCAGTAATCCAAAAGATTACAAATGAGGGCTAAGTTTGAATTAACTCTACCTAACGATAGACACAGTGGATCTGACTTTAGATTCAATTGTAGTCTCCTCCTGGAGGGAAGATCATGAAAAGCTAGCAGTAGTTCCTCAGAACAAATACCTGCAGAGTATTGGTCATCTCTAAAGCCTTATGCAGGTTTCACCCAAAGAGGAGAAGCTTCTCTCATCACCCAAAGTGTTAACTTGCTTAAAACACAAGCTACCTTTATAAATACTTCATCTGATCAGAAACATGTCATGCTTGAGATGGAGTTGCTCCATTTTATGACTTTTTAAAATTGTTTTTATAATATTTAATGTGAAAGAAGAGAACCTTCCCCCTCTACTCTTCCATAGATTGAAGTTTGAATATGAAATAGGCCTTAACCTTCATGTTGACTCTCCTGTCTGAATTTTAGGTTGGAAATTTGGTTTTTTTGTTTTATGTAATTGCTTACTTGAACAGATCACTTACTAAAGCTTTAGAAGAAGTGATTCAAGTATGTGTTTTCCCTTCAGTTTTCTAAAAAATGGATTGATGGCAGTGAAATGGCTTAGGAATAAATTACTGTTTTAATCGTCCTTAAACTCTCTCGGATCATAGGATCCTTTTGAGAATCAGATTAAAGCCATGGATAGGATACTCTTTGGAGAAAAATGCATATTCCTAATTTTGCATAGATGACCTTTGGATTATTGGACTCCAACTATTGGGACCCTAAATACTATTTAATTACAAATCTTTTTTCTCTCCTGCTTTGTTGTTTAAACAGTTGAACAGTGTCAGGAACAGATATTTCTGTAATATCACAGTTGTTAGGGTGGGAAAATCAGAATCTGACATGGATGTGGGAAGAAGCACTCCTTCCAGATAATTGAACTGTTTTCCTCTGGGATTCATTGTAAAGACTTTTCTGCTCAAGTGTGTAGTTCATTTTTCAATTAATTCCTAGGGTTGGGGTTGTTGGGATGGTTAAGAATGAAATTCATTTACAGTTAGTTCCAGGAAGGAAAAAGTTTGAGACAGTTTTTAAAGGCGTATATGTACCTAGCATTCGAGTTTGGTAAACTCGAAAACGGGAAGAACTGTAGATCCTCACAGTTCTTTATACAGTTAAGTGAACTTTAGGAAGATGATGCTTTGTTACTACGGATGGAGAATCTTTCTTGATTACAAAGACATAAATAGGCATGGCTAGCCAGAGAATTGGGCTCCAGTTCTACAAATTGCTGAAATGAACTTTACTTACAGAGGTGGAAAAAATATATTCCCCTCCACTTGAGTAAACAGCAGTATTGCTAACTAGAATTCTAAATTCCTTTATGATCTGTCAGAAGCATCACCTGTGGATGGAGGCTTCCTCCACACTCCTGTTACTGCTTTGGTAAGAACAAGATTTACTATTTAAGGCCGGGTACTGTGGCTCATGCCTGTAATCCCAACACTTCGGGGGAGGCCAAGGCAAGTGAATCACTTGAGGACAGGAGTTTGAGACCAGCCTGGTGAACATAGCAAAACTTCGTCTCTACTAAAACCACAAAAAATTAGCTGGGTGTGGTGGCACATACCTGTAATCCCAACTACTTAGGAGGGTAAGGCATGAGAATCACTTGAACCTGGGAGGAGAAGGTTGCAGTGAACCTAGGCCACTGCACTCCAGCCTAGGTGACTGTGAGACCCTGTCTGTAAAAAAAAAAAAAAAAAAAAAAAATAGTATTTGAAAACTAAGCAATAAAAACGACAAGTCAATTTTTTTTTTTTTTGAGACAGAGCCTTGCTTTGTTGCCCTGTCTAGAGTGCAGTGGTGTGACCTTGGCTCACTGCAACCTCCATCTCCCGTGTTCAAGCAATTCTCCCACCTCAGCATCCTGAATAGCTGGGATTACAGGTACCTGCCACCACACCTGGCTGATTTTTGTATTTTTAGTAGAGATGGGGTTTCATCATCTTGGCCAGGCTGGTCTCAAACTCCTGACCTCGTGATCCACCCTCCTCGGCCTTGGCCTCCCAAAGTGCTGGGATTACAGGCGTGAGTCACCACACCCAGCCTGACCAGTCAATTTTTTTAAAGTCCTCTCTTCTTTCTAATACTGTATAATGTACTCAAGCTATCATAATTTGAAAAAATGTTTAATTTATAGCTCCCTAATTATCAGAACCACAAAGAGCCAAAGCACCAAGTTAACTTTCTGAGTGGAAAGGATACATCAGTAAAGCAATTTTTTTTTTTTTGAGATGAAGTCTCGCTCTGTCACCAGGCTGGAGTGCAGTGGCACGATCTCAGCTCACTGCAGCCTCCACCTCCCGGCTTCAAGCAATTCTCCTGCCTCAGCCTCCCAAGTAGCTGGGACTACAGGCACATGCCACTATGTCCAGCTAATTTTTGTATTTTTAGTAGAGATGGGGTTTCACCATGTTGGCCAGGATAGTCTCAATCTCTTGACCTCATGATCCGCCCACCTCGACCTCCCGAAGTGCTAGGATTATAGGCATGAGCCACCGTGCCCAGCAAGCAATTTCTGTTGGTTCTTTATCTCCATCTAATCTAATTTCTCTCCTCTACCTCCCCAGGAGTCCAAACCACCATCCCGTTACCCAGATGACGGCATTGGTCTCCCCATGTTTCTCTGAATCTGCTCTTCCTAGTTCATTCTTCACATTAGCAGTGACTGCTAAATCACAAATCAGAGTTCATCAATTCACTGTTTAAAAACCTTTCGGTAGTTTCCTATTGCTCTTGGATAAAAATCCTGAATGTGATTTACCCAAGACTGACCCCAGCCTTTACAAACTCTTTGCTTCCTGTCAAGAATTGAGCTCATTCATACCAGCACTGGCTAACAACTAGGCTTGTAGTTGGTGGTCACCCTTCTTGGGTTAGCAGAACACTGGAATTCAAGAATATTTGGCAGTATAGATGGAGGAGCTGAATTGCACTCAGTTGCCTGGTGCTATGGTGCATGCCTATAGTCCTAGATACTAGGGAGGCTGAAGCAGGAGGATTGCTTGAGGCCAAGAGTTCAGGGCCAGCTTGAGCACATAGCAAGTTCCCATCTCTATAAATAATAAACAAAATTTAAAAAATGAATTACAGCCAGGCACGGTGGCTCATGCCTGTAATCCTAGCACTTTTGGGAGGCCGAGGCAGGCAAATCACCTGTGGTCAGGAGTTCAAGACCAGCCTGGCCAACATGGAGAGACTTCATCTATGAAAAATACAAACATTAGCTGGGCATGGTGGCACATGTTTGTAATCTCAGCTACTCAGGAGGCTGAAGCAGGAGAATTGTATGAATCCAGGAGGCAGGTTGCAGTGAGCTGAGATTGTGCAGCTGCACTCCAGTCTGGGCAATGGAGCAAGACTCCATCTCAAAAAAAAAAAAATTACAAGCCGGGCACTGTGGCTCATGCCTGTAATCTCAGCACTTTGGGAGGCTGTGACAGGCAGATCACTTAAGATCAGAAGTTTGACACCAGCTTGCCCAACATGGTGAAACCCCCATCGCTACTGAAAAATATAAAAATTAGCTGGGTGTGGTGGCATGGGCCTGTAGTCCCAGGTACTCGGGTGGGTGAGGTTGCAGTGAGCCAGGATTGTGCCACTGAACTCCAGCCTGGAAGACAGAGCGAGACCCTGTCTTAAAAAAAAAAAAAAAAATTACACCTGAAATTATTCTCTCCGCTACCCTACAGTGTCATCCTTTTTTAAGGATGATCAACTCACACATGCACTCATACATACCAAGTTCTTGCCAGTTCTAATAGATTTGTGCTCTTTCTTGCTAAGCACTACTCAAGTTCTTAACTTTTACAATGACCAAACCCCACACTCAACACTGAGTTCCTCAGCCCTTTATCTCAGCATTTTTCCTGCCATGTAAGTCCTTAATTGTAGAAAATACTAAAACCTGTTTTAATTCAAATTTGGAAGGGTATCTGCATAGGGCTCACAGTCATCAGCATGTCAGGGCACCCTCGTTGAGAACCATTAACTGCTGTTTCACCAGAAATTATACTGGTAAATCTCTTTGTCAACTTCCCAGTCAAAATTCCCTATCTGCCCCTGTATTAGACTCCTTAAAACCCCACATCTTGTGTCAATGAAATGGGTGGAAACAAAGTCTTGAGCCGACCGTAGGACAGCTGAAGTTCAGGTTGTTTAAAAGAATCCCACTAATTAAAACAAGCTGATCCACCACATATAATGGAGGGACCCCAGGAAATATTGGTGTTAATTCTGTAATACTAAGACCCAAGAATCTTGAGTATGAAGAGGCAATTCCATTTACACAGGTGCTCATGAAAAGCTTCCTACCAAGTGATATTTTGTATGTAAGCCAACTTGGGGACAGTGAAGGCAAGATGCTCTTATGTCACTGATGGCAAATGATCATCTTCCAGAGTTAGCAATCCATAGCTACGAAAGACCAAACCTTAATGCCAGTGGTTAAAAAGAAATCTTTATTTTACAAAATTAAAAACATAAATAATATTTACAATCATCTTAAATACCAGCTTATACTTGACATTTTTGAATCATTTCAAATTGAGTTTTCCATAAGCTTTTAAAATGCAAAACCATTCATTCACTTCAGCAAGTTACCAGTTTTTATTTCTACCAATCCAAAAGGGGTTTTGGTTTTTTGAAATTGTCCATACTGTAGTCATTCAAAAAAATACAGTATACTTTTTAAATGACTAGCTTTAAAAAAAAAAAAAAAAAAAAAAAATCCTGAGCTTCCTACCCCAGTTGTGGGATATTACTCCAAAACAACTCGAGAACCCAAATTATCTTACTGCCTGTTTACATGTAACTATTCTAGCTTTTTAAAGACATATTCCTGGTACTCACATTAATCCATCTCCTTTACGTTTCAGGTTTGCTGGAAGGAAAAGCAGGGAAAATAGAGAAGTGGGAGACGAAAATGGAGAAGTGGGAGAATCCAGATGACCAGCTGAAATCACATTACTGAAAGTACAATAGACATGACCCAAAAATCTGATCTTACTAGTTTCCTTCAGGATCAAATCCAGGATATTATACAAAAATTTCAAATGATTTCAGATGATGCATATGTGACAGCAAACCTCAGTGGCACAAAGGAACACATAGACTTAAAGATGCTTCAGTGGTCAACAATCATTCTGGAGTTCTCATGAATGAAGGGTAGACAGATTCAGTAAATTGTTTGCTTTTATGTTTCATTATCTGGTCTTCAAATTTCAGCATTGAGCAATTCATTTCCATATAGTAACAAGTAAAGAAAGACTATGAAAGTGTGAGGAAAGCAAATGTCTTCGAGACGGGTCAGAAAAGGAAAGGAAGACGGTATCTGTGAACACCATTTTGTTCCATTTTCCCTGGAAGCCCTCAGCTCAGCTGAGAATCAGAACAAGAATCTTCATTACCAGAGTAGCAACGAATTTTTTTAAAAAAGAATGACAACAGGTAAGAGTTATATACATTTTACTAGTTTGTTTCAGACTTGTCCTGGATATTTAAAAAGGTATCAAATGAGCCATGGATGCTGGTGGCAAGAGGCAAGCGAAGAGGAGAGACTTGGGGATGAGGAACAGGGAAGACTTGTTTACAAATTCAGAGCAAACTCCTCTCTTCTGGATCTAAAATAAAGACATCTTTTGTCTTCAGTAAAACAAGTCTTTCTGCTCAGTGCAGATGGTAGGTATAGTTTGCTCAAAAGAAGCATTTTCTCTTGGGGAAGGTAAGTACACAGTCAGCACAGTAAGCACCAATCTGGGTTGAGGCCCGCCCTGCAGAGCCTGGCGCCATCACTGCTGCATGTTGTTGATGATCGCCAGGATGCTCATCTTCTCCTGTGCAGAGTCCACGTCCTCATTCTGCTTCTGGGCCACTCCTGTGCCTAAGCCATAGAGCCGCCCACAGTATTTGGCATCATCAATGCTGTCCTCAAAAAACAACTGCAGAATGGGACAGAGAACCATGGTGAGAATTACGCCAGGAGTCATGACAGGTATAAACACTATCACATCTGGCCAGGTGCAGTGGCTCACACCAGCCCTTTGTGAGGCTAAGTTGGGCAGATCACTTGGGGTTAGGAGGTCGAGACCAGCCTGGAGCGAAACCCTGTCTCTATTGAATATACAAAAATTAACCGGGCATGGTAGCACACGCCTATAATCTCAGCTACTTGGGAGACTGAGGCGGAAGAATCACTTGCACCCGAGAAGCAAAGGTTGCAGCGAGACAAAATCATGCCACTGCACTCCAGCCTGGGCAACACAGCGAGACTCATCTTAAAAAAGAAAAAAAAAAAAACCACTACCATATCAGCACCTCCCAGCCTTCCTAAATCCCTGAAAATATCGCAAACTAGGAAAAAAAAAATAATAGTAAAGAAAGGCTCAGCTGGGCACAGTGGCTCACGCCTGTAATCCAACACTTTGGGAGGCCGAGGCAGATGAATCATGAGATCAGGAGTTCAGGCCAAGATTGTGAAACCCCGTCACTACTAAAAATACAAAAAATTAGCCAGGCATGGTGGCGGGCACCTATAATCCCAGCTACTTTGGAGGCTGAGGCACAAGAATCACTTAAACCCAGGAGGCAGAGGTTGCAATGAGCTGAGATTGCACCACTGCACTCCAGCCTGGGCGACAAGAGTGAGACTTCACCTCAAAAAAAAAAAAAAATCAATGTTTGACAAACCTGAGCCCACACAGACCACCCACCACTAAATTCTTAGCCTTCAGCAAATTACTACCAATAGGTGATCACATTCAAGGAAGCTTACCTCTTTCATCCTAAAGAAAGCCATTCCTGTCAGCAGTGAGTCTGAGCCTGCCTGGTGCTGCCTTCCAATCCTCTGCAAATCCAACTGATCAGCAACTTCCTGAAGACCTCCCTGAAGTTGTAAGGAAAACAAAGATAATATTACAGACCCAACATGCCTCTACTGGAGTCAACTAAGTCCAGTTATGAGTTCACTAAATTCTGGCAAGAAGTGGGGACAGTCCATTTACTTAGCAGGCCTTAGTTTCCTCTTTTTAGCTCTTTTCTTCCCTTTTTCCAAATGATAGATCGTGCTACATTCTACGTTTTCCTCCTTTCCTTTCTATGTTGTTAATTTTGCCAGATCTCTGCCTTCAAAATCAGAACTGCAAGGTTGAGGAACCAGTAAATCCCACTCTAATTTTAGACAGCAAAGCTCTATGTCAACAATTTATTAGGGTACCAAGTTCTAAAACTTTCTAGGGTTAAAAACCCCTCTGAGAATCTGTTACACCACAGACCCCATCCCTAATAAACTGCATTTATACCTTTTCACTAGGTTCATGGGGCTCGAGTGAAGAATGCCTGCCTTAGGATGACAGAAGCAGAGGGTTCCCTTCATGGCCAGGTTAAAGATTGTTACCACACAAGTATCTGTGAGATCGGCTGTTATACCCTGTCCACCACCACACTGGCATCTAGTACTCAATAATGCATGCTGAACACACAACAATAAAGCAAAGTCAGCTTTTTTTCTGTCCTTATTTTTATTTCTGGTATTAAAAAAATAACATATACCTTAAGATTTTTGCAACTCTTCATTAAGTATTTCACATCATAAATGGACGGGAAGAAAAGATTCAGAATATGAAAGAATTCATGTTCCTCTTCTGGCAAACGAGAATCTGTAAGCAACTTTACCATATAGCCAAAATCATAGCCACTACAAGGAGAGAATAAGCCACCGAGGTTAAAAAAGCAGCAGTTATCAGGCCCCAGTGTTCAACCATTTTATTTCTCAAAACTACCAACCATTTTATTTCTCAAAGCTACTTCATGTCAGAAACTTTAACGTTTCCTGAGTAAAGTTTATCATACTATAATCTGAATTTTTTTTTTTTTAACATAGTCTCGCTCTGTTACCCAGGCTGAAGTGCAGTGGCACAATCTCAGCTCATTGTAACCTCTGCCTCCTGGGTTCAAGCAATTCTCCCTGCCTCAACCTCCCAAGCAGGTGGGACTACAGGTGCCCGCCACCATGCCTGGCTAATTTTTGTATTTTTAGTACAGACAGGGTTTCACCATGGTGGCCATGCTGGTCTTGAACTACTGACCTCCAGTGATCCACCCACCTCAGCCTTCCAAGGTGCTGAGATTACAGGTGTGAGCCACCGTGCCCAGCCTATAATCTGAACTTTCTAATAACAACCTAACAGAGTAATATGGGAGATATAAAAAAGTACCCAAGGGTTTGTAGTTGTGGATTCAATTCAAAATCCAAAAGTACTCAGAAGGTAAAATAAGGAGAATCTGGCTTTCAGGTACCTAAGAAACTCCAGGATAGCTACTTAAAAGATAACCAAGTGCTGTGATCCTCTCCACCCTCCATATTCCCACTTGGAATTAGACCCACTGATAGCCACATGACAGAGCCAAATACTGTGTGAAGTAAACCAGTATGAGCTCCAGTGTTTTCTGAAAAACTGAAACATGGGCAACAAGTACCAATTCAACTTCTGACTGCTGCTGATCAACAGAACAATCACTAGGACTTCAAAAATAACTTCAAGAAATAAGACTTCAAAAACTAAGAATTCAATTCCCTGCTCCAGTGTAGCCCAAAGTGAGAGAGAAATACACATTCCCTAAGACTGACCTATGAAATGAAAGCCATTTGACATTGTCACAGAGAACCACTCCCGATGTCATAAGCAGCTCTGCAAAGTGCAGCGTGTCAATCCCTTCCTCTTCATGCTTCTGAAACTGCAGTCCTGAGTTAGCAAGAAGATCTATGGAATCCTGGGAGTACATGTCCTCTCTAAAAAACAAGGTGTTTATTTATTAACTGGTGAATAATGAAACAGAAGTAATGGCCACAATATTATCACCACCTTACAATTATAGTACAAATATTTTTAAAATGCTTTTCCTAAAAATAGATCAGTTCACTCTTTTAAGCATTCAAACAAGCATACAAAGTAGATCATCGTATTTCTGTGACAGATAGAAAAACGAGATTTTCCTCCATAAACTAAATTTCCTAATTATAAATTTCCCAATTATAAAATGTATATATTTGGTCATTATTAAAAAAAAATTGACCAGGCACAGAGGTGCATTCCTGTAATCCCAGCACTTTGAGGGGCCAAGGCAAACGGCAGGAAGATCGCTTGAGGCAGAAGATTGCTTGAGGCCAGACCAGCCTGGGCAACATTGCAAGACTCTGTCTTTTACACACACACATACACAGACACACGCACGCACATCCTTTTTTTTTTTTTTTTTTTTTTTTTTTTTAAAGACGGGGTTTCACCATGTTGGTCAGGCTGGTCTTGAACTCCCGACTTCAGGTGATCTGCCCGCCTTGGCCTCCAAAGTGCTTGGATTACAGGCGTGCACCACCACGTCCGGCCTGACACACACACACACATACACACTGCCAAGCATGGTGGTATGCACCTGTAGTCCCAACTACTCCAGAGGCTGAGCTGGGAGGATTGCTTGAGGCATGGTGGCTCACAGCTATAATACCAACACTTTAGGAGGCTGAGACAGGCAGATCACTTGAGGCCAGGAGTTTGAGACCAGCATGGCCAACATGGTGAAACCCCATCTCTACTAAAAATACAAAAATTAACCAGACGTGGTGGCATGTACCTGTAATCCCAGCTACTCAAGAGGCATGAGAATCACTTGAACCCAGGAGGCAAAGGTTGCATTGAGCCAAAATCATACCACTGTACTACTCCAGCCTGGTCAATAAAATGAGACTCTGTCTCAAAAAATAAATAATTTTTTTAAAAAAATCAACCAACAAAAAAATACTGAGGCACAAATTGTGGGCAGCCACCTAAGCTGCCCCAATGCACCTTTCAGCTGATTCAGGCTGCTTGCCTCAGTCTCAGAGTCACCGCCACCATGACCAGTCAGTCTCAGGGGCTCCAGCAGCTGCTACAGGCTGAGAAATGTGCCACTGAGAAGGTACCCAAAGGCCATGAGCAAAAGACCAAGAGGCTGAAGCAGATCAAAGCAGCAGCTGAGGGTGAAACTTAATAGTACCACCTGCAGAGGGAGAAAGAGGTCCAGGCCAAGGAAACCACAGTCCTGGAATCTCAAAGTAGCTGCAGCACTCAAGTGGCATAGGAAGCCCAGGAGAAGAGGACCAGCTTGCAGACCGACTTCTGGCAAACAGGGGTGAAGCTTGGATAGCCTCTTGGCCTATTTGCGACATCAGCCAGAAATCCATGAAAACTATGACATGAATGGAGAGGAGTAGGAGAAAGAAGTGCCTGTTCCATAGACTGGCATTTTAGATGCCCTCACGGAATATGAAGCTTTAGCAAGGCTCAAGTTATATTCTTATAATTTTTCAGGCAGTAAATGATTTCTGTATATTACATAGCAGGTTTATTCACATCTTGGAGTGCAGCAAATCTAGCTTCTTTATACAGACTTACAACTTACCTAAAGCTTTTATCTTTTCAAAAGGACATTAAAAAAAGAAAGATTTTCTCTTTCACTTCATATTTCATAGAAATATAATGGATATGTGGTGTCTGTTTTCCTATGCCTTTTAGCTCAAGCAACATTGCTGACTTTTTCTCTCTTAACTCAAGTGGAAGGAAAAAAGTTCTCTAAAGAAAGAAAGGAGGCCGAGGCAGGTGGATCATGAGGTCAAGAGATAGAGACCATCCTGGCCAACAAGGTGAAACCCCGTCTCTACTAAAAATACAAAAACTTAGCTGGGCATAGTGGCGTGTGCCTGTAATCCCAGCTACTCGGGAGGCTGAGGCAGGAGAATTGCCTGAACCCAGGAGGCGGAGGTTGCGGTGAGCCGAGATCGCGCCATTACACTCCAGCCTGGGTAACAAGAGAGAAACTCCATCTCAAAAAAAAAAAAAAAAAAAAAGAAAGGAATAAAAATGTTTTTCCCCTGATGCTTCCATGAAGGTCAGGGACTTTATCTATGAAAAAGTAGTAAACAGTTATCTAAAGTAACCTATGTAAAGCATCATCCAGCCTTAAAGTAGTCTATTCCTGCTAACGATTCAAACAATGAATACTAGTGTAATTGTTTGAGCTACTTTTAGTTTCTCTTAATCAAAATTACTAAATAACAGAATAACTTGGTACATATTATTACTTGGTATACAGTTAATTATCTAAAAGACTCGTCATTAAAAAAATTGAAATAATTAATGTTCTTATACTACCCCACAGATATAACTAACACCTCCATTTACATATCTTTCCAGATATTTTCTCTATCTACACATACACATCCCTTACATCTCTACATCATAGACCAACTTTACAGATCAATACTCCTCCATTTTAACACTGGCACAATATTCCACTGTAAAGATATGTCCATTAGTTCAACCACAGGAATTATTTATGATACCACGTAACACAAAAGTAAGGAAATAAGCTAAACAACTCCTGTTCCACTAGACTTTCACTTGCTTTTCATATAAACTTGGGTTATAAGGCCGGGCGCAGTGGCTCACGCCTGTAATCCCAGCACTTTGGGAGGCCGAGGCGGGTGGATCACGAGGTCAAGAGATCGAGACCATCCTGGTCAACATGGTGAAACCCTGTCTCTACTAAAAATACAAAAAATTAGCTGGGCATGGTGGCGCGTGCCTGTAATCCCAGCTACTCAGGAGGCTGAGGCAGGAGAATTGCCTAAACCCAGGAGGCAGAGGTTGCGGTAAGCCGAGATCGCACCATTGCACTCCAGCCTGGGTAACAAGAGCAAAACTCCATCCCAAAAAAAAAAAAAAAACTTGGATTAGACAATAAGAAAACCACTACAATCTCGATTTTTTTTTCCCCCACTACAACCAGTATTGAATTGAATCACTAGTTTCTTTTCCATGTAAATAAACATTATTTTATTGTTTTGTTTTATTATAACTAGGCTTCAATGTCAAGTAAACTTTTTTTTTTATAACTAGGCTTCAATCCCAAGCACACATTTTATTATTATTATTTTGAGGCAGAGTCTCACTCTGTCACCTAGGCTAAAGTGCAATGGCACAATCTCAACTCACTGCAGCTTCCACCTCCCAGGTTAAAATGACCCTCCCACCTCAGCCTCTGAGTAGCTGGGATTACAGGCACCCACCACCATGTCAAGCTAATTTTTATATTTTTAATAGAGATGGGGTTTCACCATGTTGCCCAGGCTGGTCTTGAACTCCTGGCCTCAAGTGATCCACCCACCTTGGCGTCCCAAGAGCACTGGAATTACAGGCATGGGCCACCGCACCCGGCCACAAGTAAACATTATTTTAAACACATATATACTCAAACCCCTCAGTGAAACCATTAATTTCTCTTCCTCGTATTACTTTATTTTTATGGTACAAACTATAGGCTTTGACAATAAACTAAAAAATGCAGTTAAAGGAAAGATCCAGATCATCTCCCCAAATTACTTGAACCTCAAGGAAATTTCCAAAACACATGAACAACAATCAAAAATATTACTCCTGCCAGGCAGAGTAGCTCACACCTGTAATCTCAGCACTTTGCGAGGCCAAAGTGGGCTGATCACTTTCTACAAAAAATTAGCCAAGTGTGGTGGCATGCACCTGTAGTCCCAGCTACTTGGGGGGCTGATGCTGATGTGGGAGGATTGCTTGAGCCTGGGAGATTGAGGCTGCAGTAAGCCATGTTCACACCACTGCACTCTAGCCTGGGTAACAAAGCGAGACCCTGTCTTGACAGAAAAAAAAAATACCCCTAAGTTATGAAACACTCCTGATGCCCAGTTTTTTGTTGTTGTTGTTGTTTGTTGCTTTTTTTTTTTTTTTTTGAGATGGGAGTTTCGCTCCTGTTACCCAGACTAGAGTGCAATGGCGCGATCTTGGCTCACCGCAACCCCCGCCTCCTGGGTTCAGGCAATTCTCCTGCCTCAGCTTCCGAGTAGCTGGGACTACAGGTGCACACCACCATGCCTGGCTCATTTTTGTATTTTTAGTAGAGACGGGGTTTCACCATATTGACCAGGATGGTCTCGATCTCTTGACCTCATGATCCACCCGCCTCGGCCTCCCAAAGTGCTGGGATTACAGGTGTGAGCCACGACGCCCGGCCCTGATGCCCAGTTAAACAAAGCAGGATCTGATAGGAAATACAGTAATACCACTCTATGCAATCAGCAAAATGAGAAGTCTCCCAAAATTTTCTTTTAAAATTCCTGGGTATACATCCCAAAGAACTGAAGGCAAGACCTTGAAGAAATATTTGCACACCCATGTTCACAGCAGCAATATCCACAGCAGCCAAGACGTAGAAGAAACCCAAGTGTCCATCAACAGATGAATAAACAAAATGTGGTATATACATACCATGGAATATTGCACTGCCTAGGAGTGGAATTGCTAGGTCATATGGCAACTCCATGTTTAACCTTTTCAGGAACTGCAAAACACTATTTTCTAAAATTTCCCCCAAAATTCTATATTCCTAGCAGTAATGTATGAGGGTTCCAATTTTCTCTACACCCTCAACAACACCTATTATGTCTTTTTGACTATAGCCCTTCTAGTGGGTGTAAAGTGGTATCCCAATGTGGGTTTAATTTGCATTTCCCTCATGACTACTGATGTTGAGCATATTTTCATGTGCTTATTGGCCAGCTGTACATTATCTTTCAAAAAAAGTCTATTCAGTTCTTTTGCCCATTTTTAGTTGGGCTGTTTATCTTTTCATTGTTGAGCTGCTGCAGTTCTTTAAGCAGGGCTTCACTTGTTGACATTCCCTATTCCATCCTCTGCTTGACCATTCTATCCAACAGCTAACTGGATT